AAGGAATATTACTTTGACTGGTTATTTTTATCTTAATTTTTTTCCCCTCCTGCCTTTAGGCAAAAAAATCTGTAAAACAAAAAAATCTAATTGGTTTGGCCTTATAAGGAATTTATTTGTTTTTATCAAAATTATATATAATCAGAGACCAAGTGTTAATCTGCCTCAACTGTAACAGGTCAAACAGATCCATGCATTAAAAATACCTGGCAATACCATTCAGCTGTAACAAAGGGCTACGTTTATCATGGCTATTATTTTCGTAAACATATACTAAAAGCAGTAGCTGAAATAACATGACAAGGAATAAAAAAATCTTCTTATAACAACTCTTTCAGAATTAATTTCTTCTGATCCTTGGAATAATATTCTTTGAAGTAATATTATATTCTTTTTTTAGCGGAATCAATGGCAGATATAGGATTGCAGCTGTGCATATGATGGATATTTCGGTCTTAGAGAAAATACTTTAATTCCTGTAAGTAAAATGATGCAAAGCAGAAAAGGAAATGAAACCTAAACAGTAAATCATTATATCAAGGATGTCTTCGTGAAAGTGTCTTATCTTTATTGTAAAAGTGATTCATCGTGAGTTCATTCACCTAAATTCAATGAAGTGAGTTTTTTATAGTGCATAATCCTCCAAAAATGTGTTATTTTTTCTAAAACAGATGGGGGATGCAGATTACACTAGGGTTTTAAAATCAAATGAAAATATGTTTAATATGCTAAACTGGTGTAGACAAAAGTGATAACTACTGCCATTGAAGCTAACATTAGCTATTGCAATGGCAATCATTTGTAGGAGGAAGCTATCACAATCACAAAGTTCTACAGGTGGTCAGGCTCTGTTTGACACATGTCATTGTATTCAAGTTGATCGATGCTCATGCTGTTGATCACTGGATTGTCTGGCTCAGACTTGATTATTTACAGATAGCCGCAATACAGCTGGAATATTGAAGAGGAACACTTTTTATGGATAGACAACTTCTTTATTTCAGTGGATGCGACGTTTTGGTGATTTGCTTGATAACGGTGTTAGGATCTACATCAAAACGTTGCATTTGCTTGAGAACGGTATTGGATCTACACCGAAATGTCGCATCCACTGCGATCCTAACACTGTTATCTAGCAAATGATTTGCTTGATAACGGTGTTAGGATCTACACCGAAACGCAATAAAGAAGTTGTTTATCCATAAAAAGTGTTCCACTTCATCATACCAGCTTCTAAATGCCACTTAAGAAAGCTGGAATATTTGTTGAGAGTGGCATAAAACTAAACTCACTCATTCAATCACTTCTTGCCCCAAATTTGTTATCAAGTAAAGAATGCTGGGAACACTCTGATTGAGTCTGTATATACTTGGGGACTACAGTAGCAGGCCGGGATTTGTAATGAGCTCGAGGAAGTGGAGAACTGAAAAATCTAATTATTAATTAACCAGTTGCTGATTTACACATGACCTGTTTCTGGAATATATAGCCAAAATAGATTTTCAAACATACTGATATAGTATCAAATAAATAATGAAGACACTATGACTAGAAATATTCACACAATAACAGTATTGCTTATATTAAATTATATTCTATATATATTCTGATAAAGTATATTTATTATGTTATTCTATAAATATATATATATATGCTGTTATTTTATATATATTCTGATATTCTATCTCTATCCCATGTTTACAATATTTATCAAAATTAAAAATGACAGCATCATCTGCATGCTGTAAAAACTATGCTGTACAAATGACATCTACTGTACATCTACTGCCCATCAAAAGTTTAGACTCACTAGTGTAAATGTAGCCACTTCCTTCAGGAAACTGTTCTAAACTAGATTTTGCAAAATATTCCGTACTGTTTAAAGGTACTGTTTACACATGAACTGATGTATTGTAAAACACATTTGTAACGTTGAAAAGATTATTGTCATGAGTTCAATAAATGATGAAACTCAGTGAAAATTGACGAGTTCGTAACAAAACTTTACACCAAAACGCAGCTGTTCACATGCATGATATTTGCACTTGCTTTTCAGTAATTTGATGCATGATCCTCATGCAATTCAACTGATTAAAGTTCGATGTATTATATACATGACATATAGTGATTGCTTTAAGTGAGTCTAAACTTTTGATGGGTAGTATATGAATGGCTTCACTGTATTTCCGAACAGTGATATACTGGTACATTTTTCTGATAGTCTTCAAGGTGTTGTGACCTGCCACCTGATTACACCTGTCTGCATTCTTGTGGTGTAACGATACCGTGATACAGTATTGTATTATGACATGATGCCAACGACACAAGACATCGATTTCCAACCCCGGTATCTGACACATACAATAGATTTCAAGTAAAATAACATGTGAGTGAGTGAGTTGATATACACAGGACTTGTTAAGTCCATGAGTGAGTGAGTAAGTGAGTTGGGTTTTACGCTGCTTTTAGCAATATCCCAGCAATATCGCGGCGGGGGACACAGTAAATGGGCTTCACATTGTACCCATGTGGGGAATCGAACCTTGGTCTTAGGCGTGACTAGCAAACACTTTAACCACTAGCCTACCCCACCACCCTAAAACGTGACTAATAACTAATCTGTTCAACCATAAGGTTACACAAAGCATATAATATTTCATGGCTGGACATGGCCAGTATAACATTCACAGCGCCCACTTGCCCTGTTTCTGCCCTACAGTATCTTATCTTTGATCGCTGAAATTCAAAAATAACTGAGGCTTGTGATTCACCTGTGGCAAGAAACGTTATCATCTTGTAAAGCAATATCATGTTGTAAAATAGAAGTACTGTGTCAGGAAAACAATCTTATCTCACCCACAGTATTGGGATTTGTATCATCATAAAGCGAGCCTACTGCATTGTTACACCTTTACTGCATTCACATGATAGAAGTTAACCTCGACTGCATTCACTTGATTTATGTTAAAGAGGATTTGTTAGGTTTCAGCATGTTTAGTCATTAAAGATTGGAAAATGATTGACAACTTGTAATTGACTGTAGCAAGCACTGAATTGCAAACAAAGTTATCCAGTGCCATCTTTCTATACCTCTATTACCCAGTCCCAGTGAGTTACAAAAACTATTAAATTCACTTAAAAATATTTTTAAAAGTGGAGGTATAATTGTTAAAAATGCCATGCACACTTTCATGTTAATACCTCCATCACTGCAAAAATACTGAAGTCAAATGTAATAAGGATATATATAAATAATAACTTCAAAGACTCATTAACCTTGACCAGATGAACACTGTAGAGAAAATCAAAGACACTGTTCAGTGCCAATGCAGACCAAACCCAACCCACTCCATTATAATCCAACTATGAAAAGGCAAGTCTGTAATAGTTCAATAGTTGTCCTTTAGTTGGTCTATTATCTTCGGTAGTTTACATACATATAATCCTAAAATATATTTGCCTTTTTAGTCAATCAAATGCAATGAAGTTGCTTGCAATGTATTTCATATATAACACTAAATTAATCAAACCTCCTTCCAAAATACAAAGAAGAGTATTGGCGTACTATTAAATTTAAGAACTGCTTTTTCATAAGGTCAGTTTGTGCCTGTCCATAAGCCCTTAGTTTTGCTTGATACTTCCCCCAATCTCCACACAAGCTTAATATTTGCCAGAATATGTACAAGAAACAAATTTATCTCCATGATCATAATTTGTTTGTGCTTAAATATACATGAGAAATGAGAAATCCCCATAATATAACAACACAGTACTTGTATTCTTCACAGATCTGCATAACATATTCAAATGGTAGTAAAAAGTATATTCAATACCCAAAGAAAACTATCAATAACAAATGTGAATGTTAACATTAGCGTACATGACATACTAAGATTGCTCAAAACATTATTGGAGCCATATCAAATATTCACAACATTCAAACCAGTCAAATGAATGAATGGATGGATGGATGGATGGATGGATGAATGAATGAATGAATGAATGAATGAATGAATGAATGAATGAATGAATGAATGAATGAATGAATGAATGAATGAATGATTTTGAACAAACATACGATAAATGTAACATAAACCTGATAATCAATCCTGACTATGACTACAACGCATTAGTGAAATTATTGTTTGAAGAATCATAAAATCCCCAAAACACACATAGTATTAAAACCTTTATCCTTTTATAATCCATTTCCTTATACAATGTACATGACTGTATTGTGTCTAAGTCTTTCAGGTTAATTATCAAAGAACTTTAGAGGTGCTTCTGTAGGAACAATCATACATGCCACTGCATTGGGACAACTACTGTAGCAGCTGCATCATTAGAGAGAAGTGTTTGGTGTTTAATGAACATTTTAAATAACATTTAATCAAGTCATGTTCAACATTTGTTTGCTTGGCATTCTAGAAGGTGGTGAGTCAATAACGAAGCATATGACCTCAATGATAACAAGTTCATATTCACTGCATATAGCGACTAAAGTATGACAACGATGACATTGTAAGATTCTACTTAGAAACTCCGCTCTATGCTATAATGAAAGGTTGTTATCAATAAAGTCGTATGCTTCATTATTCACACTCAACAAGTAAGTCACAGTATTTAAACACATATGAGCTGTATTTCAAACGCCCAACATACTACAGCAGATCTTCAAACATTCAGTTCTGACATGATAAAACATGGGGTAAAACGGGCAAGACGGGCAAAACCATTACCCGGCAGTTATGCCTTTTCTATAATTACACTTCGAATAAATTAATCTGATCACCACATGTCGCCCGAGGATCATCTGATCAGCGTTATGGCGTCAACAGCGAACTGATTTGATCAGCGTATTATCCTACTGATCGGCAATCGACACTGCCATGATAGGCTCGCTGCCTCTTTAACGATAGCGAGTGCGTCCATTGGAATTCGTCTGCTACAGCTAGGCTATCTCTGCTCCGCAGTTCACACCAAACGCATAAAGTACCTACCCGGTATCGCTAGCTCGTTCAGGGGAGTTGTATGTAGACTTTCGGGTAGATTCTTCATCCAGTCCGGGTTACCAGGGTATAAGACATTTTTCGGATCGTTTTTTGTCTCCGTCACCCCTGCCATCTCGTTGATGATGAGAACTTCCGGAAATCACGCTCCTGCAAAATAGAGTGATCTCCCCTTAGATATCACTTTACCCTCAGGCCACGCAATCGATTTTCCTGATTCATGCCCTGCATTCATTAACTTTATGTTATGCGGAAACTCAATACATCCATTCTGGTTGACACAGACGTCAGTGTGAAAAATATATAAGCTGGAATGGTTGTTTGATAGTCTTATTAACTTGTTTTATTAATTTTGAATCAATGATACCAGAAATAGTCAAATATTGCCTTTGCAGGCTATCGATTAATGTATATATGCATATGACCTAAATTCCACACTCAATGAGTACTTTGTTTTTCATACATTTTAAATGCTAATATAGGTAAAGGTTAATACAGTACTGACGCACGCAAACTCTGTTTTTCACTGTATATCATTAAATTATTTAAGCTGTGAATCCTGATTGAAAAGTGCCATGAAATTGACGCCATCAATTCTCACAAGAATCCGAGATTTCTATAACCCTGGCAATTTGATGGAAGGAAGGAATGGAGGGGGTATTGATTTTTGTTGAAGTGAATGAATTTTAATCTTCAGTTTCATCTTGTACTTTGAGGGATTTCACATATTTTATTCGCGCTTCATACAATCATTATTCACAATTATTTACGTCAAAGCTGTAAAAATCCATATTGCTTATGGATATTTTTAGTGACTCTTGGAGCTTCATATATTTCGCTGTAATCTTGCGTTGTTAATCAAACGAAATGTTCGTTGAACATGATAACATGATAACATGATAACATGTTAGCTTTTATAAATATGCTTGATCTGGATCGATTATTTTAAATCCGAGGAAATAGTTTAGGCAATCGTCGCGGGTATTTTGAGATCAAAGGATAACGTTCGTTTATCTAAGTCAACCTATTGATTAAATGGACGTTATTCATTAGTGCGGACACGTGACTTACGGGAAGAAAAACAGAAATTTCTAATTTTGGACAGAGAAGCAATCAAGATGCGGAAATACGCCAAGGGCTGGATTGACACAAATGACGAGGAGTAATTTGTTATAGATATCGCACAACTGAAAGGAAATCATATCATGAAAATAGAACAGCAATCGTACAAACAGTGTGTGATTAATGAACATGTTCGTTCAATACAGTGGTAAGCCTGGTCATTTTTTACAAAGGGATGGGCCGGTGAAAATAGGGGTAGAGTGTATGGAATATCGGGTTGGGTGGGGAATTGCTGTTTTAATTATCAAAATAAACCTGAACATTATTCAATTACTTATCATTCAATATGAGAAAATGGGGTATGAAAACATGCTAAATGTATTTGAGGTGGGGGTAGGGGATAGTTGAGGTGGGGTGGGGAGGGGAGGTGAGGGGTATGGAAAATGTTACCCGAAATGCGGAGGGATGGGTCTGCAAAATATCTTATCGACCCAAGACAAATACCGCTGGCACGGCCGACCCACTATCAGTATACGAGGGTAACGTGTAAACGTCCCCCTGATGTATGGCAAAGCTACATCTGGTTCATTCTTATAAACAGAGGCTAGCCATTAAACGTCTTGTGTGGTAACATCAACACAAGTCCCCGGCAGATGGGGATATTTGTGGCCCCACATTTGCTTGTGTTAGTCGTTGAATCTAAGTCGATGTAACAGGTGTTCTGATTGGATAGAAAGAAGGAGATAATTCGTGTTGCGATCTTTGCCGCTAGGGGATTTTACGAGAACCGGGAAATATTGGCCCGTATTAGAGCAGAGGTTACGTAAAAATATGACAGGAGTAACCTCAGTCAATGCGTCAGTCTGGTTATAAAATTCAAGTTTAGCAAATTTAATCGTTTTGTCTTTTTGAAAAAAAATGGACAAAAGGCAAAGGAAACGTTGCTTTTAATATTTAGTTCCATGTGCACTGGCAGGCCTAAGTAACCAACTCGTGTTATTCCGGGACAAGCTTACGGAGAGAGACGAGTAATGACGAATGGTTGCCCTGTTGCCAAAGGCGCAACAATCTGTCCGCTTTGGAGTGTTGCCGTCCTTCCAATCACCCGTTCACCCTGATTATGTTTCTAGGTTTGTCAACACCCGGTGTCCGTGGCATGGCACTAAACACCTGGGGCCTGCACACATGTTCATCGGAAGCGTATACGACGTGATGAACTTATTCACTGCTTCAAGCGAGGGGATTCCGAGTCAAATTAAACTGATGAGCAAAAGAAAGCAAGCACTTGAAAATTTGACTTGACCCAAACATTTGACCCCAAAGAATATCAGAACGTTACTAGACTGAAAACTGTTGTCGAAAGAAGTAAACAAATCAATTACATTATCCTTATAAAATAGTTCGTCACTGAATTGCATATCGTGTTTGGTTTAGCTTTAGAATGTTTGTCTTTTAAACGTGAGTGTGAGTGAGTATGGTTTTACGCCGCTTTTAGCAATATTCCAGCAATATCACGGCGGGGGACTCCAGAAATAGCCTTCACATACTGTACCCATGTGGGGAATCGAACCCGGGTCTTCGGCATGACGAACGAACGCTTTAACCACTAGGCTACCCTACCACCCCTTTTCAAACGTGTGTGTATATAAACTGAGGTGCAAAAGAAAGGACCCACCTTTGGGCTTATTTGAAAAAATAACGTATGTCTTGAAAAGTGTTATTGTGACATTGTAGTCACAAAACACCAGGTGTGTAGTTTCTTTTGCACGCCAGTTTACTTTGTCGTTCCCACGGGTACCTCATAAGTGTTTTAAGAACAAGTAGAAATAGGAATTTTGTGGTGAGAATCAATAATTTCGTACGGTGCTCTTCACCCAACAGCGTGGAATGTTGTTCGTGCTTACAGATGCAGTTCTGCCATGTCAAGCCGCCATCATATTACTGGCCTAAAACAACATTCACTCAATCCTTTCTTCGAATCCAAAGTCAGTCTAAACGATTTATTCTAGCCAATGACCGTTTTTATCGTAATCTAACAACTGTACATACCGGTTTATATAAGAAACGCACGTGATGAACTTATATCAGACGACATTTCACGGCGTTATCAGCTGACGTTACGTGGCATATTTTTTCGCCTCCAGCACCGAACAAGGTATGAATTTAGCACCTTTGGTGCAGTTCGCGACATTAATATTTTTCTGACATATTTTACAATCTAAAGCAGATTACTTACAGGATCAGCGACATGTAATGTTGAGATTAAAAAAATACACAGTAATGTAAGTGAACAGATGGTATTCATTATAACAAGAATGTTAGTAAATGTTGGAAATTCTTTCTTGAACCAGTAAATTTCCTTGATTATTTAAATTAGAAGAATAAATAAGGAATTATTACCAATGTAACTTTTGAATGTAAAACATGCACATCACATTATTCGAGTGCTCTTGTGAATGTAAAATTTTAAAAAATCCGAAATATAGAAATAGCCGTACAGTCTGCGTTCGAATCCCGTAATTGCACATATTCCAAACTGCCTTCCTGGTTTTCTACCTTGTTGCACAGGGCGGTTGGGTAGCTTATAGCTTATTCGTCAAACCGAAGACCCGGGTTCGATTCCCCCATATGGGTACAATGTGTGAACCCCATTTCTGGTGTTCCCCGCCGTAGTGCTGGAATATTGCTAAAACCGGCGTTTAACCTTACTCTCGCACTCATAGGGGTGATGAAAGGTCCTACACTTTTAAGCATTCGCTCGTCTTGCTTAGAAGCCACACGTTCGAGTCACGGGTTCAGTGTACGGAGCCTTTTTCTGGTCTCCACGTCGTTGCCGGAATAGTGCTAAAACGGCGTGAAATTATACACGCCCATATATTATGGCATATGTGTATGTATGCAATATATTGTACCTGAAATGCTGAGTTTTGTTACATCTGCCATAGTGGGTGAGTGAATTTAGTTTTACGCCGCTTTTAGCAATACTCCAGCAATATCATGGCAGGGTACACCGGAAATGGGCTTTACACATTGTACCCATGTGGGGAATCGAACCCGGGTCTTCGGCGTGACGAGCGAACGCTTTAACCACTTTGCTACCCCAGCGTCACCGTTCAGTCATATCCCACATATTTTTGTATAAAGTTGAAACCATATGATTGATTTAGGCCTAAAGGTGTTCGTTCCTTCAACAAGGATTCACCATTAATCTCAGACTGGCAACATATCGTTGATCCTAGCGGGAGTACACCGGTCTATCTTGAGATGTGATCAAACCTTATTAAAGTTTCATTGGAATATGAGAACGCGACCAAAGGCCATCGACCGGAGTGTGGCACTGTGACGCATGCGCTGAGGTCATTTAAAGGTGTTTTGTTTTATCAAGAAATCTCTCACAGATAAAACAGCCGGAGATAATTATCTCACAGTGTAACAATTTAGACGCAGCGACCCCATGACCGGTAACTGAGCGAACCACAGGCAAAGTGTAGCGCAAATAGGGTTGCGCAACAGAGAGAAAAATAAAATGACCAGTCTTACTATATGCGAGCTGCTTCGCTCGCATATATAGGAAGACTGGTAATTTTCTCTCTGTTGCGCAACCTTATTTGCGCTACAGTTAGCCTGTGGGTGAACAAATGCCGTTTTGTTTCGATTGAGAGTGAATACCTAAGATCCGGGATCGATTCCCCACATAGTTATACTGTGTGAATCCCATTACTGGTGTTCCCCGTCATAATATAGCTGGAATATTGCTAAAAGAGACCTTAAACCATACACACTCACTCAAGACATCTCACCTCTCACCCCTCAGAAAATGTGGACCATCCCGGTCGTGGCCCTTGTCGCCATCTTCGCTCATCCGGGGCAAGGTAAGCTAAAAATCGAATTTCACATTAGTCTCAGTGCGAGGTTGTACAAGCTGAGATACAACCCTGACACACAAAGTACATATCAGAATAAACGACAATGTTGAAAAAGAACAGGAAAACAGAGGTCTTTAAATAATTAAATACATTTAACTGAAGTTTTCTACCATTCTTATCTTGTTCCTCCTGTTATTCATTCATGAAACAAATTTATGTTGCTGACAACCTTTGTATTTCTACCATTCTTATCTTATCTATATGGTGTTCCTCCTCTTATTCATTCTTCCTATTCGCCATTTACTGGTAAAAAACACTGAATTTTTATCTCAAGACAATGGAATCTGTAGAACTACATACTTTTCACAGTCGATAGCAACAGCAGAAGTTACAGTTTGCTCGCTGGCCTGTTGTCTGCGTGTTTGCTTGCTGGGGTTCGAATCAAATACGACGCAACAAGCACACTAGGCATAAAGCATTTCTTTGCCAACAGTATACAAGTGGCAGTTTACCTACAGTTAAGTGTAGTCAGCGCAGTTAATAACAGAAGATATCAATTCAACATGCTCCCACAAAATGACATACTGTACAAGTTCATCCTCAAGGACCACCCGATTGTGTTATATTACCATTTTATTCTATCATGGCGTGATAACGGGGGCAAGGTGGGCTAAAGCGCCAGGTTAGTGATCCAGCGGGAATGAGTTGCCGGGATCGAGCCCACCTGTGACCGGATGTTAAAACCTTTGATTCAGCTTTGTGTGCAGACTCTTTCAGTGTTGTCACAAACCTTAGTGTACAGTACACAACCCTGTGCTTTTAAAAGAACCCACGAATCCTTTGGTATATGACCAGATGGTGGCCACATGGATACGTGCATACACCTAGTTGCGGGTACAGCAACGTGCAGTAAACTTTGACAAAGTACTGTGACTATGTGTCCCAGTCCACCCAGCTGTGAATGGGTACCTCGTAAGGATGGGAAAGCCGCAATAACTCGGAGCGCCTTGTGGCAGCAAGAGTTGTATGATCCCCAGGGAGTTGAGATTGATAATACGATGTGCCGTTGAGATTGACATCCAATGATCGAGGGAATACATGCATATGCATATGTGCGCTATATAAATATCCAATTATAAAAAAATAATAAATAATGACATGTCGTGGTAATTTAAAATAGGGTGGTCCCATGCGTCATGATGTCATTAATAAAGCATTATGAATGAACCGGGTGACCATTCACTTTTTAAAAGTATATTAAGCTCAAACAAGGTATCATGAGGACCACCACCGGCCTCCATAATGTTAAACATTTACATTTAAGTGCAGTGTAAGTGAAATCTATGTCTGTGGTGTTGTGTAGCTGCGTCCAGCCTGGACTGCACGTTCGAGAACGAGACCCTGTGTGGGTACACAGTGGAGATGGACCACACCCCTGGACTGTTTGACGTCATGCAGTGGAGGTGGGGAGAAGCCGTGGAGAAACAGAAGTACTACGACATTAAACTGCTGGCATTTGGACCTGATGGAGACCACACCACCGGAGCTGCTGATGGTAGGGATTGATTGATTGATTGATTGAAATAATCAAATCTGGACGAGATAGCTACAACCAGTGATTGATAGTATGATAACTTCCCACGCTACAGACCACTCGATCCTTATTCAAGGTTAACTCGCATGAGTGAGTGAATACGTGAGTGGGTGCGTGGGTCAGTAGGTCAGTGAGTGAGTGGATGGGTTCTTGAGTGGGTGCGTGGGTGCATAAGTGAGTGAGTGAGTGAGTGCTGAAATCGTGTGTTAGTGTGAGTTAACTTGGTCACGGGTGATGTTTGTCGAAAATGTAATGACTGAGTATGGTTTTACGCTTTTGCAACATTCCAACGCGGGATACCAGATATGGGCTTCATACATTGCATCCATGTCAAGAATCGAACCTGGTTCCTACGTGTAACAAGCAAAGACTTTAACCACTAGACTACCCAGCCGCCCCTTTGTCAAATGGACTGAATCAAATTAGATGCGATAAATCACAGTTTTTTTCACATATTTTTCACACAGCTTTCTATCTCAGCATCCAAAAGTCACGGGAGTATTGGAAAATGATGAAATATTGCAGGGTTCAGCTGACATCCTCGTGCTGAAGTGAGAACAGATAGTCGAGATTGAATTGAAACATTGAAAGAAATACCTCTTCGCGTGGACAAGTAAGTGAGTTTGGTTTAACGCCGCTTTTAGCAAAATTCCAGCAATATCACGACGGGGGACACCAGAAATGGTCTTCACACATTGTACCCAAGTGGGGAATCGAACCCGGGTCTTCGGCGTGACGAGCGAACTCTTTAACCACTAGGCTACCCTACAATCCCTCGCGTGGACAAGGGGTAAAAGTGTGCTGAAATACCCTTATGGAGAAAATGACTATCTGCCTCTCGCCAGAACATGTGACCTAAACAAATTTGAACCACAATAGAACACCCGTTGGTCCAATAATCAATGTTTGAAATACACGTACTCGTTTACTGATGCACTAACTTATGGAACTTCAGTACTTTAAAACTACATACGTCCAGGTCACTGGGTACGCGAACAGAGAGTAGATATGATGTTTAAGAATAAGTTCTGCCTTGTGAGCATATTTCTAGAATGACACGTGAATGATCTGAGATAGACGCACGTATTTAAGCTAAAACTGGATGTGATCACACACCGAGGACTGTGTAGTGCAGGGAATGCGTGTTGTGCGTGTGTCGCCATGAGAACAAGCATTTGATAGATAAGACATATATAATTCAGATTACTGATAGTGGCCATGATCGTTAGGACTTACAATGCTTGCTTTTACCAGTTCCTTGGCGAAATAAAACAGCAATAAAACAGCAATTTTATATTTTATTTTATTTTATTTTATTTTATTTTATTTATTTATTTTTATTTTTTTTAATTTTTATTTTATTTTATTTTATTTATTTATTTTTAAATTTTATTTTATTTTATTTTATTAAATTTTATTTTATTTTATTTTATTTTATTTTATTTTTTAAAATTTATTTTATTTTATTTTATTTTATTTTATCATGCTGAGATAATAAACTGTGAATTTAATTTGCTGTTATTTGTTGAAGAGGGGCGGTGGGGTAGCCTAATGGGTAATGCAATCGCTCGCCACGCCGACGATCCGGGTTCCCCATATGGGTACAATGTGTGAAGCCCATTTCTGGCACCCCCCGCCGTGATATTGCTAGAGTATTGCTAAAAGTGGAGTAAAACCAAACTCACTCACTCACTATTTGTCGAAGTAGTGTTACAATTTTCCTGACGTCCAACCTGTAGCAATAGCCGGAATTCAGTCATATCCGGGGCGGTGGGGCCTAACGGTTAAAACGTTCCCTCGTCACGCCGAAGACCCGGTTGAGTCTCCACATGGTACAAGGTGTGAAGCCCATTTTTAGTGTCCCTCGCCATGATGTTACTGGAATATTGCTAAAAGCTGAGTAAAACCTCACTAAGTCAGTCAGTCATGCCCATAACCTTTCATATGTTATCAGTACAGGTAAAGCGTTTGATGGGAGAGTCTAATTCTTACAGGGGTGTTGGGTTATTCGTTATTTGTAAGGAATGGATCTGAGATGACAGTGCTTAGTGTGTATGATCCTCTAAAAACACAACAACAACAAATGAGCCGAAAATAAAACAGTTAACTCCTGGAGTTGAATATATATATGACATACTATTCCCACTTTCTTTACCTGACATGAAATGTAATCGTCCACCCAATAACATCATTTTCATTTAACTGAAATGGTGTACTAAGAGTTGGCTCACAGATAAACTAGGTAGTTTGTGCAGTGTAAGAATTACATAATTTTGCATACATGTATGAACGATTTTGACGATTGGGCCGGTAGGGTAGCCTCGTGGTTAAAGCGTCCGTTCGTCACGCCGAAGGCCCGGGTACGACTCCCAACATGGGTACATGGGCGGATCCAGGAATCCCCCCACCCCACCCCGCCGATGGGGTACAATGTGATGGCCATTTGAAATGGTGTACCCCGTCGTGATATGGCAGGAATATTGCAAAAGCGGCGTAAAACCATACGCTTACTTTTGGCGATGGTTTGTGATGAGCGGGGTATACAGAACGCGCAAATGTTGAAGGAATGTGATGAATGGTTTATAGATGTTACATGAACGATTGTTACAAACTGAATGTATTAGTCTGAAGTACATTTTCTCTCTGAATGATGATCGTTAACATGGGCGGATCCAGGAATTTTGAAAGGGGGGTGGGGGTTAATTTGCTACAGCTAGAAAACTTGTCATGAATTTATTTTTCGTTTGATCTTGTTCATATTTTGCAGGTGTGTCATGAATCATCTCAGCTGCACAGACATAATTTCCGTTTTATTTTCCATTCAGTATTTCAAGAATGGCCACACTTTGATTGATGCGTGTCATGGTTATGACAATTTTTAACATGGCGGTCTATGGGGAAAGAATACACAATGTTGTATATATGTTGCTCATGTAACTACAATGCTGCAAATACTTGAAGGAACATTACATGGAAATTATGTATCTGTGACCAAGATGATTTACTAACAACCTGCAAAATTTGACAACCGAATAACGAATGACGAATACTTATGTCCCATGACTGTGTGTATATCGCGTTAAAATTTGACATATGATTTAAATCTATAATAAATAACCGTCCATACATGCAGTATAAGAAATGTTTTGTTTTGCGTCAGCATTAGCCAGAAAGACAAGCTAGATATTTTTCAAACCCACTGAAGTATAAAAATAGCCAGTAGGGCTGAAGATGATGTATTTTCAGGAACCGAGAAACAACATAAAGTAGCTGACAGAGGAAGCTAAGGAACTCAAGATTCAGTCAGGAGCGTATTTCACACATCGCAAGTATGCTTTAATATTATCATGTTATTATCTGTTTCAACCCAGGTCACTTCATGTACGCCGTGCGCCCCATCAACCCCCACACCAACACCACCCTCCTGTCCCCTCCCTCCTCGGGACGGTTGTGTTATGTCCAGATGTTCTACCACATGGGGTCGGAGAGTCTCAACACGATGACCATGTATGTGGTCAAGTACGGCGAGAAGATCAAGCTGTGGTCAGTGGATGGCTCCCAGGGCCGGTCGTGGAACAGGATGCTTGTAGACATTGAGAAGTACACAGAGTTTGGCGATTACCAGGTAACTGCTTCCACCCGTGAATACCCGGGTTAGAATTGGTCTGCAGCAACCCACGCTCGTCATAAGAGGCGACTAACGGGGTCGGGTGGTCAGGCTCGCTGACTTGGTTGACGGATGTCATCGTATCCCAGCTGCGTTTATCGATGCTCATGCTGTTGATCAGTGGATTGTCTGGTCCAGGCTTTTTACAAACCGCCGCCATGTAGCTGGGGTATTGCTGGGTGCCGCGTAATACACAAAAATCAATCAAACAAAAAAAAACAAAGAAAAGGTAACTGCTTGATGGAAGTTTAATTCTGATCTCCGTTCAAGGAAACGATCTTGCAGCTGTGACTATCGTAGGTCGGTGTTAAGGAATAGTCGCGTTTGATAGTCTCGGCCCTAGAATAGCTTGGCGCCTTTTGAATCTTAATGTGTTTTAATGTGTGATATTGCTTATGCTATAGCTATTTAAGAATTGACTTAAATATGTTTTTGCACTTGGAGGTGCATAAGTGAAAATATTGTAAGTCCTATCGTTCGATATATAATTAGCATAGGCGTTAGAAATATTACAAAGCAATATTACTTGATAAAAGATCACAGCAGAACATTAGGAGAAGAATGACTACTCTGTCTGTGACAACAAAATATATTCGACTCATTTCAGTGCTTATCTATCACCCAACATGTTTTCGTCTCAACAATCAGGTATCACATTCATGAGCCAGCGGAAATACGGTTTACAAATACACGTAATTACTTTTCCCCGGTCTTGTGACAATGTTTCCTTATTGGTGACTGTGTTTCAGATCGCCATTGAAGTGACTGAGCCAGACGACGCCTACTGGACAGTGGGATACGCCCTGGACGACATCAAGGGGATCGAGTGTAGTGAGTATCTGGTTCCATTATGTTATATCAACTCATATCATCAGAATGCTTAGAATCTCGACAGGGGTAAAAGGAAAACAGGCCTCAAAGCAATAATCAAACAACAAAGAAAACATTATAAAAAGCCAAACACCCAGCGACCAGAGGACACACCTCGCCCCCCAAAAAACTACAACACACACAGACACACACACAGAGACACAGACATACACCCACACACCCCTCCAAAAAAAGGAACAAAAAAAACAGCGAAAAAAACAACAAACCAAGCAAAAATCCCAAGCAACAACAACAAACAACAAATAAAAAACAACACAAAACAGAAAACAAAGAACAAAACTAAAGCTCCCCAAAACCATTCAAAATATACAAACAGATCGATAAGACAGTGTTTGAAAGAACCGCTCGTCTGATAAATGTGGCTTATCATCTTAACCATTTGAATGTTGGTAATCATCCTGGCACAGTAACTATATATGTTGAATATTGGATATAAATAATTTTGTATTTCTGATAATTAATTGAAACATGAGAGTGAATAGGATTTAGGGCTATTAACTTGGCCCTCAACTTCAAATATAATCTTATATCCCAGTATAAGGCCTCTGATAAATCTGCTGCTGATGGTGATGATGATCTGTTGCCTTTCTTCTTCTACACGTAACATCATCCTAAGCTAGATATCCATTAATCTCGTTGCAGTTGTCGGTCTTTGAAAGCTGGCACCAGCTGCACTTATAATGCATGAATCATGTTTCAGATATGCCTGTTGACTGTAACTTCGAGCAGGATCTGTGTAACTGGGAGGTTCAGTCCAACACCTCCATGTTTGACGCAATGAAGTGGTCACGTGGGAAGACCAGGACCAAGACCTGGTTTGGAATGGTGGACACGATGAGAGACGGACCAAAGACTGACCACACGACTGGCACCAGTAATGGTAGGCGTGGTCAAGCACTCCGTTTAGCTGTACGTGAGGGGGGTGGGGTGGGGGTGTGCGATTGTGCGACAATCAAAGAATATCGCAGGGATATCACGTCGCAGACATATTGGACTGAGTGAGTATGGTTTTACGCCGCTTTTAGCAATATTTCAGCAATATCACGGCGGGGGACACCAGAAATGGGCTCCATACATTGTACCCATGTGGGGAATCGAACCCAGGTCTTAGGCGTGACGAGCGAACGCTTTAGCTATTAGGCTACCCCACCGCCCCATCAGACATATTGTACCCGTGTTGGGCAACAAACCTATTTCTTTAACCACTATCCTTTACTCTTACATTGATTTTAACGTTACAGCTGTTAAAGCTACATTACAACGGTTGTCTGACCATTCACGTTTGTCATGAACACACGGTATCTATCAATATGATACAGGGTATATGCAGGATCCTGAACTGGGACTTGTTTGCCATATTCGTCTAGGGAATGTCACATTCCTCTCAAATAGAGGTCATGTTTAAAAACACGTCCTATGTATGCATTAATGAAAATACATAATCCTATAATATTGCACAAAGCTCTATTTATTCGTGTGACGTCACCTATTATCGAAATATAAATTCCCCCCCACACACACACACACATGTACAAAAAAAAAAAAAAACAAAACCCCCAAAACCCCCATTTCTCCAAATGTTACCAAAGTATTGTTACTACTGGTTGATATGCCTGAAACGAAGGATCGAAGTGAATCAGGCATGACACTTATTGTACGTATTTCAAGTAACCTATACACACCTATAAGTAAAAATCTACATCGCGAAATATCTATGTTCACGAAAACACATTTGTGCCACATGCACACAGTAACTAAATATTCAGTGCGTAGATTCATTGAGGTTTTCTGCAGATTATCATGAGTTGTCCGGGGCGTTGGGGTAGCCTAGTGGTTAAAGCGTTCGCTCGTCACGCCGATGACCTGGGTTCGATTCCCCACATCGGTACAATGTGCGAAGCCCATTTCAGGTGTCCCCCGCCGTGATATTGCTGTGATATTGCTAAACTCACTCACTCACCCATGAGTTGTCCGCTTCCCTATTAATTTTTATCAAAACATGCATATGTAATTGAGTTATTTCCAATATATTTCCTTTCAAAACACACCACTGGGTGTTCTATTTTGATTATGAACGTGGAGAAAGACTTTGAAAATCTTAGGCTCCCGTTGGGACAACGGGGAATGCAGTCAGTATAATGCATGCAGTCAATGTGACTGACTGACTGAGTTTGGGTTTACGCCGCTTTGCAATATTCCAGCAGCATCAGTTAGAAATGGGCTTAACCCTAAATGAGGATCGGCGTGGTCCAGTTCAGTGTGGAGTGGTCAATACAGTGTGGGAAGTTATGCTATCATCCACTGGCTATCTCTTTCAGATTTGATTATTTTCAGGCGACGAGATAGGTCCAGAATATTGCTCACTATGATGAATGCCGTCACTCACTACCTCACTCACTCACTGTAAATTGCAGGATACTTCGCATATGCTCTGAAGACGTTGGCTTCCAACACTGCCACTGGACTTGTCAGCCCAAAACAACTCGAACAAATGTGTCACGTGACGTTCTGGTACTACATGAACGTCTCCTCGCTACGTTCTCTGGAGTTCCACGTCCGGAAAGACGGCGTCGATACCCAGGTGTGGAACGTGAGCGGTGACAATGGCAATCAGTGGAACTATGTGGAACTAGACGTTGAGACTGCAACCGAGAAGGGGAGTTATGAGGTAAAGAGTGAGTGAGTGATTAGGGTTTTACGCCGCTTTTAGCTCTATACCTGCAATATCGCGGCAGGGTACACCAGAAATGGACTTCACCCATTGTACCCATGCGGGAATCGAACCTTGGCCCTCATGACGAGCGAACGCTTTCACCACTGGACTACCCCACCGCCCTTCTTGGTTTGTGAGATGACGACGACATAAAGGCGACAGTCACCATGTCTGATGACGCCAGACTATGATACGAATATAAATGACTATAATGGGGATAAACATCATATCAGTTGCGATACTTTTTCTATGTGTATATATTCTTTTTACTGTCCAACATTAAGATGACATGATTAAGATGGTATATTATTATTCAGACTCGCGTTTTAAGTATAGTCGAGAAAGGCTGAGAACAAAGTAAAAACTCCGTAATGGCCCTCCAGTCAACACCCAATGAAGGATGTTACACACATCATTAGTGATTTAAACATATTTCATTTTAAGACTATGCCAGTCATATTAAATATTTTGTTTCAATAGCTAAATGTATTACTATCAACAATACAAGTTACGGGTAAATGCAGAATATTGTCTGATTTCACGCCAATCTCATCAAGTGGAATATTGTAAAGTTACATATTAAAACAGGCGAGTTAACTGTGGAACATTTGTCATGATGAAAGTTTCTGTGAATGAGAAAATAAAAACAACCCCAGAAATATGTGGAGAATGAATATGATTTAAAAATTAATCTCCAACAGCATCTACAGCGCTGGCACACAATCCCGCTAAAAACACACTATAGCCAATAACATCGATATCTACTGATAGACAAGAACGATACGAATTTCTACTAATATAACTAACGCCGTCGTGTATTCACTTGGAACCCAACAACCTGGTAACATAGGCAATACACGAGCATGCAGATCCTGTTAATAACGCTGTAGTATGAGCAGGTTGCCTTGAATAAAAATGTCTGTTGAATCATGACCTGATTGTCCTATGTTATTTCCTAGCTTGTGTACTGGGCCAAAGAGCCCCAGGATCGATATTGGACGGTTGGATACGCCATCGATGACGTCAAGGGATACAGATGTGGTGAGTTCGTTAAAAAAACAACTCTAACTTTTTTTTCTTTTTTTTCGTCTCAGAAATTGTTCCTTTATTAATGCTTTTTTCGCAGAATAAGTTAACTGCTCAGTTCTGGGTAAAAGGTTTGGTAAAGCAGGATCCCTATCCACAAAGCATTCGTAACGTTACGACCTGTCGTAAGTCTACAATTAACCATAAGCTTGGTATCGCAACGAAAGCTTTGAGGACCCAGAGTCCCTATCCACAAAGGGTTCGTAAGGTTACGACCAGTCGTAACTCTACAGTTTATCATAGGCTTACGAATGTCGAAGCGGTACGAACGCTTTGTGTACCGGGGCCCAGTTCCGTAAATGAAGGATTTAAAACTGTTCTGATTATAGTATTTAGCTCATATATCCGGATATTGTTTTTTACACTGCAGCATGTGAAAATAACCCTTGTAAGAACGGAGGGAGTTGTATCAATGACTTCAACAACTACACCTGCGTCTGTCCAAACTACTTCGACGGCCATAGCTGTGAAATAAACACCAACCCATGCCGAGATTATCCGTGCCAGGTGAGTTGACGCTTACAGCAGATTTGGGGCCTGTTCCGCAAAGCGTCCTTTGTCGTTTTGACCATTATAAAGTGTTGGAGTCCATAACTTGTAGTCAAAGATCGTTCTGTACGATGATTTGATTCGTACCTTCTATACCCGTGAAGATCCAGGTTAGAGTTGGTCTTAAGTATCCCATGCTTGTCGTAAGAGGCGACTAACGGGATCGGGAGGTCAGGCTCTCTGACTTGGTTGACACATGTCATCATATCTCATATCAGTTGCGTTGATCGATGCTCGTGATGTTGATCACTGGACTGTCTGGTCCAGACTCGATTATTTACAAATCGCCGCTATGTAGCTGGAATAGTTCTCTGTGGGGCGTTAAACAAACAACAACAAAAATAAAAAAAATAAAAAATAAAAAATAAAACAAAATCGAAACACAGAGGCCTGGTCCACACAGCCCTCGAAACCAATGAGGACGACCATTAATCGATTTTATGTTGCCTAAGAATTATGATTTAGTAGTCACGGGTTAGCGTACCAGTGAGAAATTTGGAAGACTGTTCCAGTATTTAGGTCTGTTTCAATGTATATATGCGCATCGTCAAATACAATTTGACGCTAATATATATATACTCTTCAAAAAAAGAAACTTAACATAGGTATGAAACCATTTTCCTCGAAATATCTAAAAGCATTAAATAAAAAGGGAATTGTATTAAGCAAAGATAAGGCTGATGTTTCCAAAACCTGTACTGATAAACGTAGCGTTTGGCGGAGAAGCGTCATGGTTTGGGGGAACAATTTAGAGCTACCAATTCAACCAAAGACAACCGGTTGTAAATAGCATGCAGCACAAGATCCCGTATTTTATGCATGCAGGAACCCATGCTAAAGGGGTATAAAACGCCACATCAACGGGTGTTCATACAGACCTTATAACGGCAGTAGACACAATTACAGAATGCCTAAACTGAATACAACTCAACGTAACAACGCCATTGGCAAATTGCAAGCTGGAGCAACACAGCAAGATGTGGCCAGGCGTATCCCGCAGACAATCTCTGCATTTTGGACCCCGGTAAAATCATACCAACAGCGTTGACGACAGACCGAGGTCAGGGAGACCAAGAGTGACAACTGCAGCACAAGATCAATACATCAGGCTGCGCCAACTACGAGACCGCACTACGACAGCGACGTCTACAACTACGCAGGTCCCTGGGCTACGCAGAATTTCAGATCAACAGTTTGAGGGAGGCCGGACTTTTTGCATGAGGACCTGTTCGACTTGATGTATTTACCTGACGTCATCTGGCAGACGGGCACGTGCAAGGTGGAGAAATGTACTGTTCACTGATGAGTCACGTTTTCTACTCACACGTGGTGACGGACGCGCAATTGTCTACAGACGTCGGGGTGAACGTTACGCCTCCAAATGTGTCCAGCAGGTTGTCCCATTGGGCGGCGAGAGTGTCATGGTATGGGCCAGATTTCATCATGGTGGAAGGACGCCTCTCGTGCATGTGGCAGGTGTGACAGGCTTGCGTTACAGAGACCTGATCTTACAGCCGTACGTTCTTCCTTACGTCAACGTTCACAGTGGGCAATTCCAGCACGACAACGCTCGACCTCATATTGCACGTGTTTGTCAGAACTTTCTACAGCAGATCAACATCCAGACATTACCTTGGCCAGCTCGGTCACCAGATTTGGCCCCGATTGAGCATCTGTGGGATGTGTTGCGCAGTAGGAATCAACCCAAAACAGCCACCCCAAAAACAAAACACACTTCCGGAGCTTCTTGCAGCACTTCATCATGAATGGCAGAACATCCCACAGCGTTAACGGTAATTGATGCACGTGGTGGTCACAACCGATACTGACATTTCCTATACCCCTGTGACATTAACTCTATTGTGAACATGTATCTGGCTGTGCGACACGATTAATGTTTTTAACAATGTGTGCTTGGATCCTCAAACGAGGTTTGAGTGATGATTTCTGTGTCCTATTTACAAACAATGTTATTATATTACATATTGAAAGTCAGTGTCACGTTTTTATTTTGAAGAGTATATAATCTGTGTTACCTTTTCAGAATTTCGGCACGTGTAACCCGGTCGGCGACAACTACACGTGCAACTGTTACCCCGGCTACACCGGACACGACTGCGAGATGGACATCGACGAGTGTGCCAGTTCTCCCTGCGCACACGGCACGTGCCTCAACTTGTACGACTCCTTCTACTGCTGGTGCGAAGCCGGGTACAAGGGAGAACAGTGTAGCGTAGATATTGACGAATGCGAGTCCACTCCGTGCCAGAACGGCGCCAACTGCACCGAGGGTGTCAACTCCTACACCTGCGACTGTCCACCAGGGTTTACTGGCAAGCAGTGCGAGATCAACATCGATGAATGCGCGTCAACTCCCTGTCAACATGGCGGATCGTGTTATGACGAAATCAACAAATACGTCTGCATATGTCCTCCGGATTTTGCCGGGGTATTGTGTGAAGTCAGTAAGTTCCATGGGTATTTAACTCTCGTACAGTCAAAGACATAAGAAGACGACGGGAAAACTTTAAGCAAGTGCTTTAGCAGACAGTAAAGGCGAGTAAATGTTTAGATGAGGTGAATGGGGTTTAACGTCGCCCTTGAGAATATTTCGAAGACGTGCACGCGTGTGTATGTGCGGCTGCTTGTACAAGCCCAGACTTAAGCTGGTTTTATAGTGCTCGCTCACTGAGATACCATGCCGAAGTTAAGCAGGAATGCCCCACTCAGACACAGTATACTGACTCCGAGCCGACCAGTCCTTGTTGTACCCATTAATGCCGAGCGCCAGGAGGGACCAACAAGTACCAAATTTTAACGTCTTTTGGTATGACGCGGCCGGGCATCGAATCCGCGACCTTCCGCTCTCTGGGCGGACGCTCTAACCACTACACCACGGAGGCCGTCCATATGTTTACGGCATATTAGAAACCTTAAGTGAATATTTGGGTTACACTAAACGTTACCTACGTACGATCACCTGAAAAGAAATATCTAGATTTTAGGATTTCTTCTAATTACAAACACTAAACTGTTGTCAAAATGGTGTAATGCCTAAGTAGACAAATATTGAATCTGAAGCCGAAGGAAAGTCAGTATTGTTTCCATGCATGGTCATTGCTATTCAAAGGGGGTATCTATATTTTTTACAGGAAAATTGATGGATTGTGACTTCGAGGTTGATTTCTGTGGCTACCAAGTCTCCACCACTGATCCAAGCAACGACACCGACGCATTTGAGTGGGTGCGTGGTGCCCTCTCAGAGCCTGGCTTTTTCGGCACCAGCCGCGTCCTCTTCATGGGCCCCTCCGTCGACCACACCACTGGGGAGACTGGCGGTATGTATATAGAGGATGTATCTTCCATGAATAGTCAGGGGACGCTCTGAATTACAGGTGAGGTGGGTGAAATGGGGTATAACGTCGCACTTAGGGATTACCACCCTGTCTCATAGTTAAAGACATTCACTGAGTTTGAACAGTTGAAAGTCTATCATCCTGTTGGCGCACTAATAGTCATGACGTCTTTTTGAGTGCCGCAAAGGTGCCTTGGAAAGATTGGTACTACTTAGGTTTGAAGACCTTTTCCAAGATTCTGTAAACAGAGCGTCTGCCCAGAGAATGGTCGGTGGTTCCATGCCCATATTGCGTGCTGCTAAAAGTCGTATACAATGATACTTGTTGTTACCCTGGCGCTCGGCATTATGGGAATAAACCGGCAGTCAGTAAGATGTGTTTCAGAGCGGTATCCGTGTTCAAACACGATAGGGCATTTCAGTAGGCTACCATCGTAAAACTCACTTCAAAGCCACACACAAATACACATATTAGTGCAGCAGTTTTAAACTCGACGTTGAACCCCTTTTAACCTCCTCTCACCAGCCCGCACTTAATCCGTTAAGACTGGCGATAAAAATAAAAACCATGCACAAAATGTATTTCAAATGAGGTCTTTGGGAAGTAATGTAGCGTTCACCCATTGTCGGCGAAGGCTAGACGAAGATGAAATAAATATTCTATTGTGGCCATGCGTATTGAGTGGTGACCACATCATCTTGACCATCTTTCACGTATGTCTACCATTGCATATGATATGTTTAGGAGACATTATATCCGTTCTATATACGTCGATGTGTAGTTGTAGGGGAATTGTGTGGCACGAAACTGGAGAGTGAAAATAACTTCAGCAATGCCAAGAATGTTTCCGTGTAAACATCAGTTGTTTACCACATGTCTGCTTTGCTTCAATATTCGCCACTACCAAATATTGTTTGTACTGGTTAAGATATACATTGTTTTTGAGATTCCATCCACATTCCAAAACTGAAGACAGGAATGGTACTTCCTCGGCTTGTGTTTCATCAAAGTGGTAGACAATGTATCTCACTTACATTCGGTTCCACTTGGTGAAAACGCCCCTTGGCAAACTGTTTTATTTGTTTAGTGAAGTACATTCAATTTCCGTTATTGAGTACATCTTAATAGAAATCTTCCAGAACGAAAGCAAAGACATCTGTACACATGCATCAGGGCCTGCTCGGCAGACAAATGATCCTCCCGAGGGATCTTCTGTGTAGGCGATAGTATCAGACTTGAACTGCGTGTCTAACCTCAGAGTTTATTGGTCTGCCTCGCGATGTACAATAGGATTGATGAGGACAAGCACCATGTCTGTCGTCCCCCATGTGACATCAACACGCTGAGAAAGGAACATTCCTGCTATCCACATTTACCGAAATTCGATTTAATATTGGAGCTCGTTCCTATCCTATTGTACCAGATGATTTGTCTGGCAAAGTTTATTGCTGGGTCCGGAAATTGCTATCAAATATGTTCAGTCTTCCTTGTTCTGTTAAATGCAATCAGACGATGGCATGCTCGTTGCCGAATTAACGTTCCTTGTATTGAGATTGCTGTCGTGAAAGCCACCATTACCAGTAGGTTGTATTGTGTTCTTTTGTCCCCTCTTGCTGGTGGGGCGGGAAGATGTGATCGTCTCGAGGTCAAGGTCGGCTTCAAGGTTACGAAACGAATAGTTGAGTATGGTCAAGCGCCGTCTGTAGCAACAATCCATAAACCGCAGCATAGGAAATGGGCATTTATACATTGTACGTGTTTGAAAAGTCGAACCCGCGCCTTTGTTTGAAGATCAAACGCTTTAAGTATCGAGCTAGACATCGGACTCTCGAACTTCCTTGATGCAGACACCCGTGAAGGTCCGGGTTAGAATGAACCTTCAGTAACCCATGCTTGTCGTAAGAGGCGACTAACGGGATCGGGTGGTCAGGCTCACTGGCTTGGTTGACACACGTCATCGGTTCCCAATTGCGCAGATCGATGCTCATGCTGTTGATCACTGGATTGTCTGGTCCAGACTCGATTATTTGCAGACCGCTGTCATATAGCTGGAATAGTTACATACGTGGCGTTACAACAAATAAGCAGCCAACCAAACAAATCTATCCATCCAAAATTGAGGGCTTTTAAGAGATAGACGTCACAGACCCCCACCAGCTACATACTTGACTGAAGTCGTAAACATCCGGGTTAGAATTGGTCTTCAGCAACCCGCGCTTGTCGTAAGAGGCGACTAACGGGATCGGGGGGTCAGGGTCACCGACTTGGTTGACACGTGTCTTCGTATCGCAATTGCGTAGGTCGATGCTCATGTTGTCAATCACTGGATTGTCTGGTCTAGATTCAGATATCTACAGACCACCGCATCATAGCGGGAATATTTCTGTGTGTTAAACAACAAACAGACATACTAAACTTTGCGTAAGGTTCAGGTTATTTCGTGTTTGCAAGTATACAAATGTTTAAGACTTGCATTACGTCAGCTACATAATTTGACTGAAGTCAAACATCTGTCATGCTGTGAAACAACTCTCATGCCGGCAAACAACCGTCATGCTGGAAACAACTGTCGGGCTCGTGAAACAACTGTCATGCCGTGAAACAATTGTCATGCTGTGAAACAAGTGTCATTGCGTAGAAACATGCTCATGTCATGATGTCAATCAAGTGATTGTCATGTCTAGATTCAAATATCTACAGACCACCGCATCATAGCGGGAATATTTCTGTGTGTTAAACAACAAACAGACATACTAAACGTTGGGTAAGGTTCAGGTTATTTCGTGTATGCAAGTATAAAAATGTTTAAGACTTGCATTACGTCGAATTACACTTCCGCATTAAGCTGTCATGCTGTGTAACAACTGTCATGCCGTGAAACAACCGTCATGCCGTGAAACAACTGTCATGCTGTGAAACAACCGTCATGCCGTGAAACAACTGTCATGCCGTGAAACAAGTGTCATGCTGTGAAACAAGTGTCATGCCATGAAACAAGTGTCATGCTGTGAAACAACTGTCATGCCATGAAACAAGTGTCATGCCATGAAACAACTGTCATGCCGTGAAACAACCGTCATGCCGTGAAACAAGTGTCATGCTGTGAAACAAGTGTCATGCTGTGAAACAACTGTCATGCCGTGAAACAATTGTCATGTTGTACAGTACAACGTCGAACCTAACTTACAAACCAACATGGCATGCACGTCACTCACAATAACTACCCAATGTGTATAAAAAAAATATCTACTTAAGATCCTGGCCGTAGCTAAAGCCCTCGCATTCGAACATCCAATTTCACCTCAGACCTCAAATTGTGTATTGATCATCTATACTCTCTAATTTAACGGGTCCGTGTACCGACATGAGTATTTTATGACATTACGTCTTGTCACGTGAAGATTCCATTTATTCCGTCAAGTGTGTAATTGTTTCGTTAAGCCTAATGCATATTTTATAGCAAACACACACATGAAGGTGGTATGATTCCCTGATGCTAATTTGGAGCGAGACAGGTCACTCTAGTTTACGATAGGTGTGGTGGAAAATCCATCTGTGATGATGAACATGTTCATTTGTTGTGATTGTCACTGGAGTAATGGGGCGATGTATTATTCTATTGATGGTCGGGACTCTCGTTTACTGGTTTATCTGATTTGTCTGTGCATCGCATATAGACACCGATCACACGTGCATTGGAACTGATCAGGGTAATCTATTTGATGTTTTAGATTGGTCGATTTGTGTACACAAGGCTGTGATAAAACGAAAATAACATGTTCACAATCACATTAGCATAGATCAGCATGGTGTACGATTTAGGGAAACATGGGTATGAAATGAATGGGGTTTGATTTAGAGCAGTTCGCGGGTTCGACTATACATGACCCTGCCTGGCGCTCGGCATTAATGGGTACAACAAGGACTGGTTGGCTCGAGTCAGTACATTTTGTTGGTATGTATGTTGTTTACCGTCGCAGTCAGCTATATTCCTGGCAATCCAGTAATTACGAGAGCAGCGGCTTTAAGAAAAGTGGCCAAATTAAGGAGTTTAATGCCCCCATCTCTTATATGGACATATTATGGCTCATTGTAAAGCTTATTGTACCTACTTTAACATAGGTCATGATATGATGACCAAATATGGACCAGTTTATAAAAAAAATCATGTCGTGTGACCCCAAGATAAATGTTTTTTATAATTTATAATTTTATGTAAATACAGTGGAAACCTGATAAGTAAAATTTCAAGGGACTCGCCAAAATGTTTTACTTATCAGGTATTTTACTTATCAAACTTATCAAAACCTGCAAATGACAACCATATGCATGTATATGTATACAGCAGAATAACTGACAACATTTGTAAGTAATATGGCCTCCAGTTGTCAGTGTTGTCAATATATTGTGTATATAAATCCTTTATTTTCTGGTTAAGTTTCCATCATCAATGGTATTAAGGCATATTTTGAATTGTTCTTATTTAATTAAATGACCAAAGGGCAATAATAAAGATAAATACCTGAAAATCACATTTAGTTTGAGTGAAAATTGACCTTTTTAATTCACAAATCAATTTTCAGGTAACACAGGAGTCATTCACTTTGTGTGACAATTTAATATCTCCGTGTTCGTCTCAAGGCAATAGAAATCGTGTACTGTATCAAATAACACTATTTCAGGGTAAAGATTTCAAATATTGCAACATTAGCAAACTGGGATACGATGACATGCATCAACCTAGTCAACGAGCCTGGCCATCCAAATACCCTCAGTGCTTTTGTTTGGTTTTGTTTAACGCCGCACTCAGCAATTTCCAAGCTGCATGACGGCGGTCTATAAGTAATCGAGTCTGGACCAGACAATCCAGTGATTGACATCATTTTCGGATACGATGACGTTCATCGATCAAGTCAGCAAGCCTGACCACCCGACACTGTTAGTAGGCTTTAACGAAAAGCATGGGTTACTGAAGATCAATTCTTCTCGGGTTGCCTCTTTTTGCAGTGACACTTTTTGCTAATTTTGTTAAATAATGCATGTACCCAAACAGACAATCATTTCTACTGCAGGAAACGCGACGTATGCCAAGCGTGGCAATACTCAAAACGCAACGACGACATTGTTGTCACCCATGATGGAGGGGCGTCTGTGTTACCTGGAGTTCTTCTACCACATGGGCACCGGTGCCCTCAACACCCTCGACGTCTATATGATCAAGGGCGGCAACAGGAACCTCATCTTCTCTTCAAATGGATACCAAGGCTTCGAGTGGCAGAGAGCCATGCTGGACATTGAAGAATACACCGAGACCGGACGCTACCAGGTGGAGCTTTCAGTGAAACATGTACCGAATAGTAATAGCATCCTTAAAACAATCTAGGCGTTTAAACTGGTACAATTTTGTGAAAGGACACCATATAAGCGTTTTGTGAAGATGTAACGTGCTCTGTTCTTGCAGCTGGCTTTCGAAGTTAATGAACCAGATGACAACGGCGCCCTCAAGGTCGGTTACGCCATCGACGACATCAAGGGGTTTAACTGCGGTAAGAACTGTACACGACGATGGGTGGAGTTGCACCAAAGCCTAAGTTTGACGGAGAGGTTGCTAACTAGGTACCTTGTTCGTAGACAAGTAGCCCCGTTATTGGGCTTTACTGGTTTTGTTCGTACCTCAGATTTGTTGGCATGTGTTTTGACCCATGCCTTGCTTGCGAGAAAACGCAAAGTCTTGACACTAGGGTTTGCAGAATTTGTCAGTATAATGTTAAGTTGTTGAAAAGGTCAAGAATTTGAAAAGGTCATGATTAAGGAATGCTTTTTGGCACAATGATGATTTTCAGTGAATGTTTAGGAAAAAAGATTCTGAAAAAACCTTACTGTTCGTACACTACCACAGTTATACATTTTGTACATTTGTAGCATATTTGCTGTCAATTTAAAGGAACCTTTATGAGATCCTATGAGAACTTTTCTTTCATTGGCTACATTTTGTACATTTGTAATGTTTTTACTGTCGATGTAAAGGAACATTTATGAAATCGTGTACTAAATTTCCTTTTATTTGCTGACCATTGAAAATATATTGTACCTAATATCGTGAAGTGTATATCAGTCGAAGTCGTAATTAATTCTTATATTACTCAAAGTTAAAGTGAAGCCATGTAAAAACATACATGCACAGATTTGTCCATGGACTGCGACTTCGAAAACGACACATGTAACTACATCATCGAACGAGAAGACAACTTCTTTGATCGCATGGAGTGGAGACGAGGACAGCCTGTTCTGGAGACCATCTTCAGTGACATCAAACTGCTGAGAAACGGCCCCAGCGGCGACCACACCACCGGGAAGAAGGACGGTAGGCGTTTACGGCTGTATGTACCTAAACTGCAATTTGAACGGCATCTCACACCGTGATGACCAAATGGGTGCAATGTGTGAAGCCCATTTCTGGTGTCCCCCGCCGTGATATTGCTGGAATAACGCGGCGTAAAACCAAACTCACTCACTCACTCACGTTGTGATGATTCAGAATTAGTCCCCATTATCCAATCCTTGTGTGCGAATTCGGACCGGGTGATCGCAGTATTACCCAACACCATAACTCGTTGCCCAATACGACACACTGATCTGCATTTTCCAGTTTCAGAGAGGAAAATGATGGGATGATCGCAATAAACACGACTGTTGTCCTGTATGTGACTGTGATTGCTCCATATGTTAAGGAGGACCCCTGAAGATCCGTATTAGAAATGGTCTTCATCAATTGCTATCAGTCACTGGGCCATCATGCACACATGTGACTATCCCATCCTTACGAGGTATACCCATTCACAGCTGGATGGACTGGGACACATAGTCACAGTACATTGTCCAAGTGTACTGCAAGTTGCTGTACCCGCAACTAGGTGTTTGCACGTATTCATGTGGCCACCATCTGGTCATATACCAACGATACCTTGATACACCGTGTATATTACAGGTCACTTCATGTACGCCGTGAAACCCATCAACCCCGGTACAAACACAACCCTCGTGGCTCCTCGCCAGCGCGACCAACTCTGCTTTGTCCAGTTCTACTACCACATGGGGTCCAACTTCCTCAACAACTTGGAGGTATTCGTCAGGGCCGAGAATGAGACCTACAGGGTCTTCAACACTTCCGGTTACAGTAGTGATGGATGGGACAAGGCCCTCATCAACATCGAGGAAGAAACACGAGTGGGCAAGTATGAGGTGAGTGAAACTGCTACTGCGGCCATATTGGATTGGAAAGACATAGTTTTTACACGGACCTTTATCAATACGTTCCTCAATATTTTTCATTTAATTTTGAATTTCACCCGTAATCTGACAGTAAAATTTAAATGTAAGGTATTACATGTTTGATTTCAGATTACTATTTATATTGAACGACATGTTTTATTATTGTACATGCGTAAAAGCTTAAAACCTAAATGTTAAACAAAGACAATCTTTGACCACTACATACTTTGTATATGTCTATTTTCATTTTGATTCTCATTTTACTTGTAATAAAATCAACAGATAGAAATTAATGACGCCACGCAATGAATCGTCTAGTTGTGAAGTAGTTCAAGATAAGGCTTCAAGACATGACGGTGACCCAATGTTTCTGGACAGAGTGATATCTATTAGACTATTCTTGTAGAACGTGATCATCAACGAGAAATTGACGTGGCGCTTTCACATAAAGCAGGATTGTACCCTAGCAAATGTGTAGTTTGTTGAATAAAACATTTGTCTCCTGTATTGGCAGATTGCCATCTTCGTGGATGAACCAGATGATATGTTTTGGTCCGTGGGGTACGCCATCGACGACATCACAGCATCACCGTGCAGTACGTATTTACTCGTGACTTCTTTTCTCGCAATACGACGTTTTGGTGTAAGTGAGTTGTTTAACACTGCTTTGGACATTTCAATGTAGACAACAAACAACCGATCCCGACCTTCGAAAAAATTGTAAGCGGTATCCCGACAAAAAAGCATCACTGTCGCTGTAAGAGATAAGTCCATGGGAAACCTTTGATCTTTCAACCGAATTTCAGATCAGTCCTGATTGTGTTTCTTTGCTCGTCCGCACCATACCGTGACAGGTGGTTTCACCAAAATGAAACTTCTTGATCTTGATCTTGATAATCTCTCGAATGATCGGTATTACAATTCTAACAATGACCGGGCGGTGGGGTAGTTTAGTGGTTAAAGCGTTTGCTCGTCATGCCGAAGACACGGGTTCGATTCCCCACATGGGTACAATATGTGAAGCCCATTTCTGGTGTCCCCCGCTGTGATATTGCTGGAATAATAAACCATACTCACTCTAACAATGACAACATCGAGGGCGTTTTATGGAAACGGTGACACAGGCCCTCGTGTCTTTGCGAAGATTAAAGATTAAGGAAAATATATTTTTGAGATGACCCCCGACTCGAAATGTTATACAATACGTTATGACTCTCAAATGTTATATGTTTTTTAACATCTTTATCCTCGAATCCCGGATGGGGCTCAACTCAAAAAGTACTAGAATTTGTACTTCACTAAGAAAGTGTAATCCTAAATATACCATGTTACATTTGACCACTTTCTAAATGGCATTGTGTAATCATCTTTATCCTCGAAAGACACGAGGGCCTGTGAACGGTGATTGTGTTGCTACCTTGCAGTGTGCGCCAACAACCCATGCATGAACAACGCCAACTGCACCAACGAATACAGGAGCTACACGTGCACCTGTCCCTATCTCTACACGGGGGTGCACTGTGAGACAAGACTCACCCCCTGTGACTACTCGCCTTGTGCGAATGGCGGCTCTTGTGATAATCAACCCGGAGATGATTACAGGTAAATCATTATCTATCTGGTGATAATGAACGTCGCGATAAATGTGTTTCTGACTTGTGATAATCAACCTGGGGCTGGAGATGATTACAGGTAAATCATTATCTACCTGGTGATAATGAACGTCGTGATAAATGTGTTTCTGACTTGTGATAATCAACCTGGGGCTGGAGATGATTACAGGTTAATCATTATCTACCTGGTGATAATGAACGTCGTGATAAATGTGTTTCTGACTTGTGATAATCAACCTGGGGCTGGAGATGATTACAGGTTAATCATTATCTACCTGGTGATAATGAACGTCGTGATAAATGTGTTTCTGACTTGTGATAATCAACCTGGGGCTGGAGATGATTACAGGTTAATCATTATCTACCTGGTGATAATCAACGTTTTGATCATGATGTTTCTCTGATTTGTGATAATCGAAACAATGATAAATATATTTATCAAACTTGCGATTATCGAACGTTTCGATACTGACTGGTATGTTACATGTACATGTACTTGTCAAAATAACTCAATGATCAGGAATCAAAATAATGTCAGAAATGTATCCCGATCAAATATTGAAATAAATCGGAAATGGACATTTTCCAGAAAGAAATTAGTATATTTAACAATTTAAGGTCCAATTCGAAAATAGGTACCATGTGCTTGGCAAAATACATACATGTCAAGTATTACAGCTTACATTTCTCCTGGTTAAATAGCATTGTTCATATTAGTCCCTCTGTTGGTATTTACTAGGAATTGCATGTTTCCATAGGAGAACCATTCAACTGATGTTGTGCGAATGTGTGAAGCCCATTTCTGATGTCCTCATCCGTGATATTGCAGAAATCTTGTGTATTTCCCCTGTATGCTGAATTTGTACTCTCAATACATACATCTTTAAGATTATACACTTCCTCGACAGTTTTAACCATGACCATAGTCCGTTGTGCCGTGTCTGATTGGCGGCGGTAATTTAAAAAAATGGTCATTTGGCACTTATTATATTTTAAACTACCTTGTTATACTGAACACGCGACAACCTGCAATGCCATAAGTCATTTACTATTTAATCATATCATTGATGCTTATGGATGTATATTATCTTATTGTTATGTTATATTAAACCGGGGGCGGTGGGGTAGCCTAGTGGTTAAAGCGTTCGCTCGTCACGCCGAAGACCTTGGTTCGATTCCTCACATGGGTACAATGTGTGAAGCCCATTTCTGGTGTCCCCCGCCGTGATATTGCTGGAATATTGCTAAAAGCGGCGTAAAACTAAACTCACTCACTATATTAAACCGTGGTTTTAATATTTCGACAGTTGAATACTTTACAATTTTAGATACATTTTAAGGCTCACTATTAAGTAGATTCTTTTATCATTCTAAGGTGCAACTGCACTGACGGGTGGACTGGAAATGATTGCGAGGTAGAGATTGATGAGTGCGAGAGTAACCCCTGCATGAACGGCGCTAACTGCACCGACTTGCTCAACGGCTACGAATGCGTCTGTGAGCCGGGATGGTACGGTACACATTGTGAAATCAACATCAACGAATGCATCTCTCAGCCCTGCCAGAACGGAGCAACGTGTATTGATGAAGTATGTACCTTCCAAACTGTATCATGGCGTGAATGTGAAGAGTTCGTATTTTCAGTGATCACCATAGTGAAGATGAGGGTGCAGATTTTAACGAAACTCGAAACGAGTGTCCCTTCCAAGTCTGGGTCTTCCATAAATATATGACCAATAATCATGAAGATATAATAGGATATATTCTCTTGAGAAAAGATACATATAGAATAAATATCTTACATTTTGTAATAGATTTCTTTCAGGGGTACAAATCATGGAGGAAAATACCATGGCCTCCTTAAAGGAGGATTTAGTTGTGCCCTGCAAATGTAAAATGACTCTTGACTGAACATTGTTTTATTTCAAAAGAGTGGTGGTCAAATCGGGGCTGTTTCACCCATTTTAATGACGAATAATCCTCTATATTTCTGTTGGTTTACCCACTATCTTTGTAAAGGCTGATCCAGGGTTCGATTATCCATATGGGTACAATGTGTGAAGATTATTTCTGGTGTCCCCCGCCGTGATATTGCTGGGCTATTGCTAAAAGCGGCGTAAAACTAAACTCACTCACTGTAAAGGCTGATCGACATTTTTTTAACCCGTTAGTTGCCTCTTAAGACAAGCATGGGTTGTTGACCAATTCTAACCCGAATCTTCAAAGATAAAATAACCTGATAGTCGACACCGAAACCCACTCATGCGGACGGTGGATGACAGCCTCACACAAGAAATGGAGCCGGGAATGTTCGAAAGGTGGTATCTGATCTATTGATGTGTCAACCATCGTGACAGGAAATTATTACAGGAGTGATGACCGGAATACTGACCGGATATGACGACATCAGTGGACACATCTGTCCAAATTGCATTGCCCATTCCCACACTATATACCACTTTTGTAGTCTGACTGATATTCTAGAAATCGTGTGATACCTATAAATCTGCTGACTACACTACACGCCAAAAGAAACGTTACCCTCCTACCTTTATGAATTACTGAAAAACTATCAAAGATATGTCAGAAGGTTTTAGTTTACAAGAAAGCTTAACAACACAGCTTTATGCAAATCACGAAAAGAAATTCTCAAATGCATTCATATTTGGGTGAAATGCATATTTTTCAGAAGAGTTAAATTGTCCATGCCGAAATAAACCAATAATAGTGATTTTTATGTCCAAAAGAAAGGTTGAAATAAAATTCCGCTTTGGGACAATGATAAACCATTTAAAGTCACCATTTTTCAACTATTAAAACAAGAAACAACTGTTGTAGAGTGTGTAAAATTGTAAATAATCATTGCTATGATTTCAGTCTTTTAAAACATTTTCTGCTGATTTGCATTAGTGAAAACAAGTAAAACGTGTCTTTGATATTGTGAAAAAAGGTTATTTCCCAATTGACAGACACCCAGTTGACAGACACCCAGTTGACAGACACTGAACTGGAAGGTTAATTAGGGTAACACCTACGGGTATAATGGAACAGTCCACTGTCTAGTGAGTCGATCAGGGTGAGCCTGAAACAGGTTCGTTACTGAGAAGTTTGATTGTGGGTAAATAGAACTTTGTTGTGATAAATGATTTGTCTTCTCAAATTGATTTTACTATAAATTACTATCAAATATAAAAACAGCTTTGCCATTGAGAGGTTTGATTGTGTTTATTGATTGAAAAGACCCCTTCCAATAGTAGTACATGTACAACAGAAGTTCACTGAGAAAACGTTTTGTTGGAGAGATATAGATATGTACATATTTGAAAACATTCTGATTTTCAGTAAATGAGACACCTGCATTGCCATGTAAGATACGATTAATACCAATCAGTGTTCTAATTTTAACAATACTTTCTAAAGATTGTAACAGTTTGTGTCTTTGAGTAGTATACAATGGACATTCAAGGAAGTAATGAAAAACATTCTCACATCCATGCCCACATTGACATGATGTGTCATATTTCAAATATTTATCCTAAACAAATCGTAATTAAGTGCACGTGTCATGTATCTTAATATTGTGTGCAAAACATATAACTTCTTTATTCCATATGAATAATATTTAGGTTCACATTTGTCCATTTGATTTATATGATACAACAGTGTCGCAATTTCCAATAGCTAAGCTAATGTTTTCAATATGATGATGCCGACTCCCGTTAGACTAGAAGGTTAAACCGAAAGGTTTATGAAAATAAACTATTTTTATATTGCAGTAATAAAACAATAAAAATTTAAATTACTCTCTTTTCGTCCATCTTTCAAAATATATAACAGCTTCAGTTTGTTCCTGTGTTTTTATTTGGACTATTCCATTATAATGTGTAGGTAACAGGTAGTAGATACTCTGTTCACTGAACCGTAAATGTTGTTGTTTTAAGGTGTCTGCGAACTGGCTGTCTGCGTAATGGGAGGACACCTGAAAAAATGTTTAGGAACATCTACAGTTATTTTTGTTAACATTTTTGCTTGCAAAGTAACATTTTTCCATTTCCATTTTACACATAGCAATATCAATCGCCAAAATGCAGCAATATTCAAACAGTATTTACATCCATTTCACATGCAGAATGATTCTATAGGGTATAAAGAGAGCCTTTGGCGTTTAGGGTATATGGCGCAAGGAACGACCACTGCCACTATGACCTTCTTCGTACTTTCTGCATATTCTTGCATTCGTCTCCCCCAGGTGAACTTCTACCAATGTGAGTGCGTCCCCGGCTACTGGGGTGTATACTGCCAGTTCGACATCCAGGAGTGCGACTCCAACCCCTGCCTGAATGGAGCGACGTGCGTGGACGACATCAACTTCTACTCCTGTAAGTGTCCTCCCGGATACACCGGCGACAACTGCGAGATCAACGTGGACGAGTGCGCCAGCTCCCCATGTCTCAATGACGGCATGTGTTATGACCGTGTCAACAGATTCGACTGCTACTGCAAACCGGGCTACACAGGTGAAACATGCAGTGTGACAATACAGAGCTACAGATAACTTTTTGGTCATTTAGTTATGTACTCGCTTGTGTTCATCTCAATTGGGTATCTTAATTTTCCTTTGAGTAACCAAATAAATTGTACCCACCTCACTCAATCTCATTTGGGTATTTTGCCTTTTTTCCATTTATTGTAAAAATGTAATATAGCTTAAATGTTGGTTTATATGTTGTCATTTATATTTGATCTGTAATATGAGAAACGATAAGAAAGACTGCAAGTTGCCAATTCATGTGCTGAAATAGACCCTATCAATATACCTCAGTTATTTTATCTATTTTTGTGTGTACGCATGTAAGATAAAATTTATATTATATAGTATTTACAAACATTCAAGCGTACTTGTACACAACAGACTTTATAGGAATTGAGTTTTCACATAAATATTTGCGTAATTTACGCAGATACGCAGCTTATCTGTACCTCTGACAATAATATTAATGATAATAATAATCTGTATGCGAGAATCTTTAAAGATGTAATGCTAATGGACTGACGTGTGGATTTCAAGTTCTATTTTCTTTGAATTCTATCATATTCTACTGATAGTTACCTAGTCGTTAATGTTCGTCTTTATTCATTATCATCGCTCCTTACTTCCGAACCTTTGAAAATCTGGTAGTTTTGAGTTTCGCCTTTTTGTGAGTATAATAAATGAAATACTGCTAATATACCGACCCTTTGATATCCTTGGAAGGGGCAAGGGCGTCGATTTTTTTCGAAATACCTAATTGTCCCCTGAAATAACTTAAAAACAATAGCATTCAGAGGGTTAAAAAAGAAATCACCAGAATTAAACATTACTTTACAAGAAAAATAAAACATTAGAAGATTAAGAGAAATGATATCTAAGCAGTAGTTTGGCCTAGTGGTTACAGCGTTCGTTCATTACACCGAAGACCCGGGTTCGATTACCCACATGAATACACGTGAAGCCCATCTCCGGTGTCTCCCCGCCGCGATGTAATATAGCTAAAAGCAGCGAAAAATACTCACTCACTCTCTCACTCATGTGTGATATCTTGGTATTATTACAGGAAGCTTGTGCGCTCGAAACGTGAACGAGTGTTGGTCGTCTCCCTGCCTGAACGGAGCCACCTGTGTCGACCTGGTGAACGACTACCAGTGCTCCTGTGCCCCAGGCTATAATGGTACGGTGTTGACTTGTCCCTTTTCTGGTGAATTTGTTGATATGAAATGTGTTTGTCTGTTTTATGTATGAGTGAGTGAGTGGGTTTAGTTTTACGCCGCACTCAGCAATATTCCACCTATATGGCGGCGGTCTGTAAATAATCGAGTCTGGACCAGACAATTCAGTGATCAACAGCATGAGCACCGATCTGCGCAATTGGGAACCGGTTGCATGTGTCAACCAAGCCAGTGAGCCTGACCACCCGATCCCGTTAGTCGCCTCTTACGACAAGAATGGGATGCTGAAGATCAATATTCTAACCTGGACCTTCAGGGTTTTCCTGTATGAAGAAAACAATAGGACCGATAGTTTGTTTGTTACAGTTCAGTATAGTCTAGGCACTTCTCTTCTTACAAGGGCATATTGGTGCTACCTAGTCTGTCATACAGATCATGAAACTAATATCCAATACAGCCCATGCAATTCTATAATATTTGGCAAGTCTAGATTACTGCAGTTTCAGAAAAAGGTCTTTGGCCTGTGAAGATCCCAGTTAGAGTTGGTCTTCAGCAACCCATGTTTGTCATAAGAGGCGACTAACGGGATCGGGTGGTGAGGATCTCTGACTTGGTTGACACATGTCATCGTATCCCAGTTGATCAGATCGATGCTCATGATGTTGATCACATGATTGTCTGGTCCAGACTTTATTATTTACATACCACCACCATATAGCCGGGCTATTGCTAAGTGCTGCGTTAAACAACAAACTGAAAACAAAAGATTAATACTTGATCTGTTTCAGGAACGCACTGTGAGACAGACGTGGATGAGTGCGCGAGCGGCCCCTGCAGGAACGGCGGCACTTGCCACGATGACGTCGGCACATTCAAATGTGACTGTCCTATCACCTGGGCAGGTAAACAGTGCGAGAAAGCTCTTGGAGATTGCGGGACAGACCCTTGTTAAACCACATACATTGTTCCATCTTTCAGGGTTTATCTGTACATACAAAGTAATAAAACACATTTCATAGGTAGTGTTAGTTAGTCGATGTATCTGCAGGAACTGTGAAGTAGCCAAGTAGTTAAAGCGTTCGCTCATCGTGTCAAAAGCCGTGTTCGATTCCCCACATAGGTACATCATGTGAATTATATTCCTGGTGTCTAATATTGCTGGAATATTCTCAAGCCATAACCCCACCCACACCGTGGCAAATCACTGGTATATATATTTACAAAAACTCACCTGTAAAACCCATATGTTAGAATTTCACACTTAAACGTTTACAGTGCTTCTCTCATACTGGTTTGCCGAATGGGTAGTCAAGTGATCTAATATTTAGACTGTCATACCTGTGAACAGACAAAAAAGTTAATACTTTGTTTTGTGAAAGTGACGGCATGAACCTTCGCCAGAACCATTGAATCTATTGTGTCTATAAAACTGCCTATATTATGTTCCATTTTTTTATCCTTGCATTTGTCAGCTTTATAAATAAATGGTATACTTGTCAGGGTGTCATTGTATAAAGACCGCCTCCGTGGTGTAGTGGTTAGAGCGTCCTCCCGGAGAGCGGAAGGTCGCGGGTTCGATCCCCGCGTCATACCAAAAGACGTTAAAATATGGTACTTGTTGGTCCCTGCCTGGCGCTCGGCATTAATGGGTACAACAAGGACTGGTCGGCTCGGAGTCAGTATAATGTGTCTGAGTGGGGTATTCATGCTTCACTGCGGCATGGTATCTCAGTGAGCTAGCACTATAAAACCAGCATAAGTCTGGGCTAGTACAAGCAGCCGCACATACACATACACACGCATGCACGTCGTCATATGAGCGAAATATTCTCAAGCACGACGTTAAACCCAATTTCCCCTCACCTCACCTCATTGTATAAAACAGTGTTAGCCAAATGGTGCATGTAATCGTACCTCCTGGGGCTCCTTTCACGAAGCAACCTTTACTAACATTCTTTAAAAAACCCATTGCACTAAGGTTACCATAGTGACTTACGATCATCTTAGGGCTTTGTGAAAGGAGGCCCTGTTCCTTGCCAGACTAACGACACATAGGTTCTTTGAACAACGGCACCGTGGTGCACTCTAACACTGACAAATCTACAACTCTAAACCTTACTGCACACGGCGACATTAAAACACAAGATTATAATTCACTCCGTGTTGGTTTTCGAGGACCCATCCCAGTCGAATTTGTTTGAATTGGTTCTGATCATCAAAACACAAGTAACACCTTCACATTAGTGCTATTCCTAATTTCCTAGTGCCACGGAGGCTTCATGCCTATGGTGTTTTTCATTTGCTGCTCAATAAACTTTACTTAGGTTTATACTGCCGTAAGTGAATTCGAAATGCACCTGTTCACAAAACCTTTGTTTACGTATTCATCCGCAGTTGATGGTCGACCTCGTCTCGGTGCATTTAGTCATGTTTATTGACCTGTTATCTCTAATGGGCAATTTTCCAGAGAATATAATTATATTCATGTTAAAATATTTTCGGCCTACGATGTTCATACTGAGGGAACTATTTTTCTTAATGTAAGTGGGTATGACTGAGGAAAAGATTGTGGCTTTAACTCATGATAGCAGTGTCAAAAGTTAATTAATCCGGACTGCTTTATAATCCGGACAAATGAGTCTGCTCCAGGCCAGTCCGTAATAAACCGATTCCACTGTATAATTGCAGTATTCTTCCGCGAAACTGAAAAGTTCAAAGAAAGAAATTGTTGTAACGATATCATTCCGAGAGACCTATAAACTTTAAAGCATGAAGATATAACAATTGAACGTGAACGTTTTAAGCTCGGAGGTTCACAGAATATTAACCCTGCGCTTTTAAATCGTCCTCACTTCACCCTATCCAAACTGACGCTTTTGTTTTCCAAATCAACTGTGATGGTAAAACGTTTCAAACACCCACATGGGTATGGAATACCGCTTGTCTAAGGCTCTGTTATTCGCTTTTCAGTGGAGCAGAATCTTAGTTTGGTCATGGCTTCCCAATTACAGTTCGCTAAAAGTATATTCCATGTTTTATCTTCACCCACATGCACTTACGGCGTTCCGCGTAACGGTAAACATCAATAACCCGCTATATTTTGACCTTTTCCAAGAAGTTAAGCTGACATTCCGTGCTACCACAGAATTATTGCTGACATCGGCATAAAACCCAGCTCATTGTCCCACAAATATGCAGTTTTTACAGAAACGAAAGGTGAACTACAGTACGACATTTTGAAAAGTGATAAAAATACTCCCCAAAAAACTTTCAGCTGGCGTACAATTTGAGACAGTTGATGTGTCAGTGATGCATTATGTAAGGTTTAATTACGAAACGGCATTTGGAAGTCAGCGTTAAACGCAGCTATTGATCTGCTTCCATCATGGAATGACGTTTCGCGTGCACTCGAAGGAAAATAATTGTCTTCCATTTTAACTTAAAAGTAGAACTTGAGACGTACGATATGACAAAAAGAACGGCTAGTTTTAAGTGCAAAGAAATGTGATCGGTGTGCAGGGTTTGTTTATTTAGGTTTATCCTTGTTCTTTTAGAACTATCGATTACAGTTGGAACTTAACAAATTATTAAGAACTTTGCTAAGAAGTTAAAAACACATTTATCGTTCTTAGCAATATTGCAGCAATATCATGGCGGGGGACACCAGAAATAGGCTTCACACATTGTACCCATGTGGTGAATCGAAACCGGATCTTTGGCATGACGAGCGAACGCTTTAACCACTAGGCTACCCCACCGCGCCTATTTTCATTAGAACATCAAGTGATATGCTCAAAAACATTTTGGACCAGGGTTGTATAGTGGCATGGACCTCTGGCCAGCAAGTTTTGTTTCATCCGTATGTAAGTTTGTAGTATGAGACTTATTGACAGACAGCCTCTTTGGACTTAGTGTCTTTTAATGTAATAGACAACGATTTAATTTATTTCCCGAAAACTGTTTTCATATTTCTACAGTTAATCTGTCTTAGAAACTGGATACACCAACTAGAGGTGTGACGATACAGAAATTTCACGATACGATACGTATCGCGATACCTTGGAACAATACGATTCGATACGATGCGTATCACGATATGCTATCTTTAGTTATTTTCTTTAAAAGAGTTTATTTTGATAACAAGTAACCGTGTTAGTTTTGACATAACCATCAATTTCTAGTGAAAATTCACAATTTTTAGGTCAACTATACATATCACGATACGAAAAAAGTATCGATATATTTATTGTCAGAAGAAGTATCACGATTATCGATACTACGATATATCGTCACAGCTCTAACTCCAACACACATCCTTCCAACTGAGGGTCTTCTTTAACTTGTGTTAAATAATATGTAACATAGGGTCTACGGAAATGTAACATATAATTCGCTTTTGACAATACTTTTCGCTTCACACGTTGTACCCATGCGAGGAATCGAATCTGGGTCTTCGGCAATACGAGCGAACGCTTCGGCTACCTACCCAAGGATGCGATGCCATCGCGTGTTTTTCTCCTACATCAAGCTGACACACTGTGATGCTCCAAGCAGCGTAATTCCAAACTCATTTTAAACTCGGGTAAGGGCTCGGGTAATATTTATAATATTTTTAGATCATAAAACATTTTGTAATACATGTATATGCTCTGATATCCAAAACGATTTATAATGGATAGTCGATACGTGGACTTCGATTGATAAAAACAGCATGTAAAATAACAACATTGCTACATTTTGTTTTCGACGTCGACAACTCCATTCTTAACTAATCATATCTTGATTGAATTAATCGTTGTACATTTAATGACGGTATTCACTTGACAAAACCAGAATTTCTGATTGACCATTTCTACAATAATTGTTCCGCGACAAGCTCGGTACTAGATGATTGGTTACAGTCTGCGAAATAGTTTCCAAATTTTGCTAGCCAGTCGGGCTAGCTATGCCTGAAAGTTACAAGCCCACAAAATAATTCACCGGCCCGAAATTTGAATGTAGACACTGGTTTCATTATTAAGCTGTTAATATATATCAGGCCATAACCTTGCATGATTTAAAAATGTATAATAACTTAACAAGTCGGAGAGACTGATATATTTACAAAATGACCCCATGAACATCCATCAGCCAGTCGGGCCAGTGACTGTGGAGATTTACTGGCCAGACTGGACTTTTACTAGCCACGGGCTAGCGGGCCAGTGTCTATTTCGCACACTGATTGGTTACTGGATGTGTTAAGAGACGGAAGTGTGGTAGACAGGTGCCTTCGTTACACAACCTTGTTCCCGTATCCTAATCAGAGACACTCACGATATTTGCTCATTTGGTAGTGCTGGATCAATGTAGAGGAAAGTCGTTTGTGCATGGAAATTATTGAACATATCTGGTTTATATGACACTGTCCATTTATTTCTTACGTCTTTTTATGAAAAATGTACATTGTATGTGTCTCGTTGTCATCAGACCCCAGATGCTTGATGGGCATTTAGAAGTTGGAAGGTAACATAACAACGTATGGTATGGATTTAGAACTTCTTTAATATTTACAACACGACGTTTCTGGGCTACTTCTTGCCCCTTATTCGCCTGACGTTTCTGGGCTACTTCTTGCCCCTTCATCACCTGACGTTTCTTGGCTACCTCTTGCCCCTTATTCGCCTGACGTTTCTGTGCTACTTCTTGCCCCTTCATCTCCTGGCGTTTCTTGGCTACTTCTTGCCCCTTCATCACCTGACGTTTCTGGGCTACCTCTTGCCCCTTCATCACCTGACGTTTCTGGGCTACCTCTTGCCCCTTCATCACCTGACGTTTCTGGGCTACCTCTTGCCCCTTCATCACCTGACGTTTCTGGGCTACTTCTTGCCCCTTCATCACCTGACGTTTCTGGGCTACTTCTTGCCCCTTCATCACCTGACGTTTCTGGGCTACTTCTTGCCCCTTCATCACCTGACGTTTCTGGGCTACTTCTTGCCCCTTCATCACCTGACGTTTCTGGGCTACTTCTTGCCCCTTCATCACCTGACGTTTCTGGGCTACTTCTTGCCCCTTCATCACCTGACGTTTCTGGGCTACTCTTGCCCCTTCATCACCTGACGTTTCTGGGCTACCTCTTGCCCCTTCATCACCTGACGTTTCTGGGCTACCTCTTGCCCCTTCATCACCTGACGTTTCTGGGCTACTTCTTGCCCCTTCATCACCTGACGTTTCTGGGCTACCTCTTGCCCCTTCATCACCTGACGTTTCTGGGCTACTTCTTGCCCCTTCATCACCTGACGTTTCTGGGCTACTTCTTGCCCCTTCATCACCTGACGTTTCTGGGCTACTTCTTGCTCCTTCATCACCTGACGTTTCTGGGCTACTTCTTGCCCCTTCATCACCTGACGTTTCTGACCTGATCAGGTGATGAAGGGGCAAGAATGTAGCCCAGAAACGTCGTGTTGTAAATATTAAAGAAGTTCTAAATCCATACCATACGTTGTTCTATCATCAAACCTGTGAAGATCCGGGGTAGAATTGATCTTCAGCAACCCATGTTTGTCGTAAGTTGCGACTAACGGGGTCAGGTGGTCAGGCTCGCTGATTTGGTTGACACATGTCATCGTATCCCAATTGTGTGTACTAGTATCTATGCTAATGATGTTGATCACTGGATTGTCTGGCCCAGACTCGATTATTTATAGACCGGCGCCTTATAGCTGGAATATTGCTGAGTGCGGCGTTAAGCAACAAACCAACCAACCAACCCAATATAATTCAGCAATTTATAATCATGCAAAGCCCAAAGAACCTGTCGCGGTTTCGTTTCGAGTCCAAAACATGCTCCAAGCTGAGTGCGACGTTAAACAACAAACAAACGTATATTCCAACGTTATCGATCTCGCACTGTCCCATGACCCGTTTCCCCACATGACAGAATTGATACAGGCGCCTGTAGCATCCAAAGTAATAAATAGACTTCTAAGGCTCCTTTGACCTTTTTTCTTGGCCTATGCCCAGCGGTCATTAAAAGATCTGAGTTGAATCTCACTGACCACTGATAGGACTGACTGACTGACTGAGTTTGGGTTTTACGCCGCTTTTAGCAATATTCCAGCAACATCACGGCGGGGGGACACCAGAAATGGGCTTCACACATTGTACCCATGTGGGGATTCGAACCCGGGTCTTCGGCGTGACGAGCCAACGCTTTAACCACTAGGCTACCCCACCGCCCACCACTGATAGGAGATATGATAGTAATCATCATTGAAGGTATTAATGTTACTAGAAATTCATATATTATCTAAATGCATGTAACGTGTAGATGTTTTTTTCCTTATACGATTTTTATTTATGTTTACGATTGTTCATCAGATTCTGACTGACGGATGTAAGTGATCCAGGCCACTTATTAATGTTCACCTCTGTGGTTTATTTACGCCCAATGGAATCTAAAATATATTATCCTTTGGGGCGGTGGGGTAGCCTAATGGTTAAAGCGTTGGCTCGTCACGCCGAAGACCCGGGTTCGAATCCCCACATGGGTACAATGTGTGAAGCCCATTTCTGGAGTCGCCCGCCGTGATGTTGCTGGAATGTTGCTAAACCAAACTCAGTCAGTCAGTATGTTATCCTTGTTGGGTTATCGTGTATTCAGCAAGATTCCAACCTAAAACAAAGTCAACACTGTATTCATCTATTGTGAGTGAGTGAGTTTAGTTTTATGCCGCACTCCGCAATATTCCACTTATATCGCGGCTGTCTGTAAATAAACGAGTCTGGACCAGACAATCCAGTGATCAACATCATGAGCATCGATCTACGCAATTGGGAACTGATGACATATGTCAACCAAGTCAGCGAGCCTGACCACCCGATCCCGTTAGTCGCCTCTTACGACAAACATGGGTTGCTGAAGACCAATTCTACCCCGGACCTTCACAGATGACAAATGCTTTAAGGTGGATTTGTTCAGCAATGATCAAACATCGTGAAGGGATTACTTAATATTAGTAATAAACTAAAGAAGCTAAAATAACAGCCACAACGCAGTTGCATGGGTTTTGGAATTAAGTGTTTTTGTGCTTGACGTTGGTGACGCTTTGGAATCAGAACAATTTTACAATAATGGTTTCAACAGAGGGCGCATTCTAATTGAACATTTACCAGACATGCATTAAAGACATTAATTTTTTTTTACTTTTTGCAGTCACTTTATGGTTTTTAAAAGACCGAATCGATACAAGGCCAGGATGACGATAACGCTTTTAAGAATTCGAATTATCGACTTTCTCTTTGTTGTAGAAAGGACAATCCTGCATTTTAATTTGTATATCCATCGGTTTTTAAGGCCTATATGGATTAAAGAAATATGTGTACACACTTAAGGATTATCTGAAAAGAGATTCTATATCTTAAATCGAAATGTTTTGGACATGGTCATGCTTTTAGCAATATTCCAGCAACATCACGGCGGGGGAAACCAGAAAAATGGACTTCACACATTGTACCCATGTGGGAATCGAACCCGGGTCTTCCGCGTGAAGAGCGTCAGCTTTCACCACAAGGCTAACGCACCGCTCCTCACCCCTTGAAATAAGTCGGTCAAAATTAATATTGTAACCATTGAGCAAGGCACTTGTAGAGATTGAACGGGCGCTTCTCACGCCCGGTGACGTCAGTCAAAAGTACCTGTCACAAATGTCTGCAGGCGTTGCTAGATTTACGTCAAAGTGTGACGTGGGGGTCTCGGGGGCATGCGACGAGTGACCCCAGGGGTATACGACCTGACGCCGACAGCTGGGCTACAGGGATATCCATAATTAACCCTCCTGGTTCATGCTGGCGATACAACCGTGACCCCTACGGTGACGACGCTCGAACACTCCACCGCTTTGTAGGTACACTTGGGGAGAATGCCAGCGCTGGTGCCTTTCATGTCAGTGGTCCTTTGTTTGAGCTACTTCTATTATAAGTGCTTTATCAATTCATATGCATGCCAATTAAAATACACACATTCTATCGTGGTAATTCAGCATTCGACCTATCAAGAGGACAGGTTATGGTTTGTTTTCTTTTGCGGAGATGCTCGGTTTTGCATGTTTAAGTTTCTGTATTTACGCACTTGTAAGAAATGTAATATTCGCCTGCCTTTCATAAATCATAAATTTACTGAACGAAAATATATGTTTCCTAATACTTTCTTGAATTGTCATGGTCCGCTTGCGGTGCGTCTTTGGTTTTACTTTACACCACTCAGATCAGTGTGGGGTGGTGGGGTAGCCTAGTGGTTAAAGCGTTCGCTCGTCACGCAGAAGACCCGGGTTCGATTCCCCACATGGTTACAATGTGTGAAGGCCCATTTCTGGTGTCCCCGCTGTGATATTGATTCCCCACATGGTTTTTACAATGTGTCTTTGCGAAAGCCCATTTCTGGTGTCCCATCTTTATCCTCCGTGGGGCTCATTTACTAAGGAATGTTGCTAAAAGCGGCGTAAAAATAAACTCTCTCACTCACTACAATTTGTTTGCGACGTGACATCCCTGTGATATTCTTCGATTGTCGCACAATCGCAACCCCGTCACGTACAGCTACGCCAACCATTACTGGTGCCAGTCGTGTGGTCGGTCTTTGGTCCGTCTCTCATCGTGTCCACCATTCCAAACCAGGTCTTGGTCCTGCTGTGATCGGCTGTGATATTGTTAAAGGCGGAGTAAAACTCACTCACTCACTCACTCTAGATCTGTGTTCTGAAGCCCAATCACTAGATTAGCAAACACAGATTGTGAGAATCAGAACAAAACTACTAAACTAGACAGTACTACAAGAGCACCTCCAAAGATCAGTCAGACTTTGACACTTTGAATATTAGAATGCAAATACCAGTAAATGTGCGTTAGTAGTCAGATCCCCGCTCACTGCGTGGGAATATAATTGTGCCGGAAAATACCTTAGCTTTTTGTATCACAGAAGCAACAGCACCCATGTCAAACAACGTGCTCTTGTATACATAAGTATGTTCTATACAGACATGATTTATTTTATAACTTTATTTTCAAAAATACATACTGATGGAAGACAAATAAACACAAAGACACATAAATGCATTAAAATAAATATTGGAATAATCTCATCGTATAAAAGACCTGTAAAAAGCTGACGTCAAATAATGTGTTTCACTGTTACGAAACGATTTTCAGACTCCAACCGAGGAACGTGTTGACACTGAGCGACGCTCACACGAGTGAGCCTTACAAATCGCAACACTGACACATATTATACGAACGCTTCTTTCAATTTACGATGACAACATTCACCGGAACAATATACTGGGATCCGATATGTTTCATCGAGCGAGTCTGACCACCCGATCCTGTCAGTCGCCTCTTACGACAAGCATGGATAGCTGAACACCAAATCTAACTCGGATCTTGACGGATATGACCGAAATCATGTTCAAATTGGCGTAAATAAACTAATTCAAAGTGACCTGCAACTTGTGTTACGTCACACAAACATTGCTATTTCCAAAGGCCACAGATTGTCTAGGAAGTATGCCCATGTGATGGATGTCTGCTTTAATCTGTTACATAATCCAGGATAGGTATGCCCATGTTAATCAAATAACGTATGTGACAAGAATGTAGTCGCGGGTATTGTTTCAGATGTTGCGGTTTGGACCTTTGCCAACGCGGAAGAGATTTTTTAAAAACAGTTTTAAACGCTTACTGAAGGAATTCGAAGTAACCAACAAATTTGAGTTTGTCATGTATTTTAATGTTGTTTTATCTTTGAATTTAAACCAATAAATAATTTGTTGGAACATGTGTTTTGGTTAGACTTTCATTACAGAAAACGTATTGTTATAGTCATAATTCTCGCTTAATATTTCTCCTGGTTGGAGTTCTGGGACATGCTTGATCCCTAAGGATGAAATACAGAAAGGGTCTTAAGATAAGGTGATGCAACTTATCCACTGACTTCTGATCATCAATCACACTGCGCGGCGATAACACGTAATTAAAGTAACTGTGTATTTGAGCATCTAAGCCTTAAAGGTGCTTCTGCTGACGATCCTCTTTAACAGAGGAAGCGCATGATTGATATTGAACACAATGTATTTAGTATTTACATACTTGTATCTTCTGGTTTTAAAATAATGCAGCAACTTAAAGTTTGTACTTGAACGTTATTTACACTAGGACCACTAAAATCACTTTATGGTTCGTTGTCGGCCTTTTCCACATGACCAATTCAATGGTGACATCCGAGGTATGACTAGAAGCCGTGCTGCACTACATTAACGTAGATTGGGATGTACCATTTGAATGCCAGTTAAGAGCAAATGGAATTTCAGAATTCATCAAGACATTGTCTTATCAACGTTCACAAAGCAGTCGCTCAAAGCCGTTCACGTATCATGGGTCGATGTGCTTCTACCCTACTGACAACTCTCTTGTAAATCTCTGGAATCCATGACCCTTTGGGCCATAAAAAATTCGCTGTTATGTCAATATTCAGACTATCGAAAACTTGGCCTCTTGCTCTGAGCCTCTGCACATTCCATCTGAAGAATGATAGTCTGGTTTATCAAAGCGTCTGGTGTTAAATGCGGTTACCCTTTTTTAGTAAAGTTAGGTCACTTGGTAGAGGAATTTATTTTTTTAATAAATCCAAAATCATCAATTCACAATTTAGTCACTCATATTCCTTGGCAAATATATCCTCTGTCATCTGTTCCCGAAATGCCCCTGAACTTTCACCGTTAATGCCAATGACTACGGGAATAAAATCTGCCATTTCTACAAAGTCTACAAGGCAGATATTAATTCTGTATTCCCCTGGAGCTTTATCCCTCACCCAGTTGACAAACGCGGTCGTGGAAGGGCGAGCTAGAACAGATTTCAGAGAGCCACACAGTCGCATGGCAATTGTTCCTGTGCTCGGTGTAAGGCAACCTTGCCACACATGAAAACTATATCCGGGGGTCGTTTTTTCTCGGTGTAATTTCTCTCCAGGAAATCAATCAGAGAATCTGTACTAGACGTGTTGGGCCAGGGTGACTGGATGACATTCTTGTTCCAAATCTTTGGAAAGGTGGCTGCATTAAAAGGATTGTGGTAAATCAGAATAATCCGACCGGGGTGGCTCCAGATGTTAGCGAGAGTGAGACTCCATAGTTTGTATTGGTAACCATTGACCGGAACTAGCAAACCACCAACTGTGTCCTCTATCTCCCCTAGCAACCGATCATGATCTGATGGCTCCATGTTATAAAAATGGTTCAAGTCCAAAATGGCGACTTCCTTTGGGTTGGTTTCGAAAAACGACCTTATGGTGCCAAGTGCAGTTTGGACATTGTCTCCATAAAGTCCATGTAAGAAATGGAATTGTTCTGTGTCGGGTTTCTTGCACACTCGTAAATCGAAATACCGTATTCCTGCTGTGAGCTGCTCAAACAGTGCCATGCTTTGATTGACTGACCATCGTTGGATGATTTTTGTGATAGCTCCGCAGCAAGACGAACCCAGGTTCTGAATCGATTCTGATTGGTCCACTGCCACGCCTTGCGAGGAGTCGAGAGTAGACGTGAACGAATTATGAGAACCTGCAACGGAAATAAACAGACACTAAACCTATATGAAACATGATTTTTGTTATGATTGCTGTTATAATACCTGTAAATCTTACAAATACATTAACATGATAACAGTTTAATCCAATAATTTTACCCACGGTGGCTGAGTGAGTTAGATCGCTGACTTTGTGTGCTGGCGAGTAGGTGCTTGACTCTGAAAGTGTGGGTTCGAATCCCGGATGGGACTTAACCTAGCAAAAGTACTAGAATGAGTACTTTACTGATATGTCGCATTTGACTGCTTTCTGAATGACATTGTGTATTCATAATTACATAGCTCCTTACTCTGATTTGGCTATAAGATTAATTATTTTTTTAGGAATAAAACGTTATAATAGCAACAATGCAGACGTCCTGTCAACTATTATGGGTTCAGGAGGAATGACAATCGAGTTGAGCCAACGCGATCTTTACAAATTTTAACAAAACCACACTGATATATGAATTAATGACAATTCCAAGAAACACCCAGATAGACAGAGAAAATATCCGTGTGTGATTTTCAGTGTTAACTGTACGTTTGGTTAAGTGATTACTCTGTAATTCTGTTTCATTAAGTACTTGAAGTTATCATAAATCTTTCATAGATGCGACCGCCTCCGTGGTGTAGTGGTTAGAGCGTCCGCCCGGAGAGCGGAAGGTCGCGGGTACGATCCCCGACCGCGTCATACCAAAAGACGTTAAAATATGGTACGTGTTGGTCCCTGCCTGGCGCTCGGCATTAATGGGTACAACAAGGAGTCAGTATAATGTGTCTGAGTGGGGTATTCATGCTTCACTGCGGCATGGTATCTCAGTGGGCTAGCACTATAAAACCGGCTTAAGTCTGGGCTAGTACAAGCAGGCGCACATACACATACACACGCATTCACGTCGTCATATGAGCGAAATATTCTCAAGAACGACGTTAAACCCAATTTCACCTCACCTTTCATAGATGCATCAAATTTAGACATCACATTTATCATCTTTTCATTATTTACTAGTATTCATTCTATATAACCCCTTGCAATAATATTCTAAAAACCACGTTAATCTATATATGCCTTATAACATTTAAGTTAACAAACGACAATCATAACACACTTAATATATGAGATAATCTTCTTCAAAGTCATGTTTTGGATTTTAACCTCATTTTGATGTTCGTGTCACAAACACAAATCTTCATATGAATTATCTATTAACCATTAGTGTTCATTCATTGTTTCTACAAGTTCATTCACCAGAAGTCTCCCATTGTTTTACAAGCTGACGGTTGCAGAGCCTAGGGGTTAAAGATCTCGTGTCGAAATCAACGGCTTTCCACAGGGGTACAATGCCTAAAGCCCTATGTATACCAGCCACTCCCACCCCACCCCCTCCGTGATAACGCTGTAGTATTGCTAAAACATAGGTACTCACTTATTTATGTATTTCGTCCATCGTTAATATTTCTATCATTTAACTAATGATTTATTTGATATGGATTCATTAATCTATCATTTCATAATCGCTGATGAAATCGTTCCACCCAATGATGTAATGTTGACAACATACTTTACTTGCGAATTTTGTTTTTCTATATTGTATAAAATAGAAAAAACCCAAAACACCATAAGCCTTATCCATCAGTATAAAACATCTTTAATTCATATTATATATTATTAATCCATCTTAGATATTCAAAATGGGACGGTGGGGGGTTAAAGCATTCGCTCGCCACACCGAAGTCCATTTCTGGTGTCCCCCGCCGTCATATTGCTGGAATATTGCAAAGAGCGGCGTAAAACTAAAATCAGTCACTCACTAGATATTCAAGCCAGTTAATACATTCTAACTTTTATAAAGAAACCCTTCCACAAAATCAATTAAAGTGTAATAAGTTTTCTGTAAGAAATTTGACGAACTCTTCCTTGATTGCGTTACGTCACACACATGCATGAAATGCTATCTTTAATGGTAACTAGTTGTCAAGGAAGTACTTCCATGTGATGGATGTCGGGGGGTTAATCTGTTACATAATCCAACATAAGTATACTCATGCTTATCACATTACGTATGTGACAAGAATGTTGTCGCGGGTATTGTTGACAGATGAGGTGATGAGAGAACGCGGAAGAGATTTTTTTAAACAAAATTTAAGCTGACTAAAGTACGGTCCAAACATTGTTTAGTTTGTCGCGTAATTCTAATATGTTCTGTCTATGAATTTGAACAAAGATATTTTTTGTAGGAGCCATTGTTTTTGTTGAGACTATTATTACAAAAAACAACAACATTTTTAGTCATAATACAACTAATTTAACGTAACTTGAGTTTGGAGGGATACGGACTGTCAACTGTTATTAATATATTTCACCTTAAAAACTCTCACAACAACTAAGGGGCGGTGGGGTAGCCCAGTGGTTAAAGCGTTCGCTCGTCATGCCGAAGACCGGTTTCGATTCCCCACATGGGTACAATGTGTGAAGCCCATTTCTGGTGTCCCCCGCCGTAATATTGCTAGTATATTGATAAAAGCGGCGTAAAACTAAACTCACTCACTCACTCAACTCAAAAGATCAAGAAGGAACTATTTCTTTTAATGACGATAAATATCATTAATATCATTGGTGTTGATGTGTCTGTGGAGTGAGACAAAGGAATTATTAAGTGCAATACTAACATGACAATAATCCGTGCTTGCGAGCGAAACCAATAGCCATACACGGAAGTGATTTACAACGAGTGATATTCTGTCATGTTGAAACCGATCAAGTACAGTTATCTATTGTGCATACGGAATTGCTCAGCATAAAAGCAACTCACGGCATGTGAGTATGCATACAGCCGGTGTTGACCCACATATAACTGATCACGCTTAGACAAACATATTCTGACTTGTATTTGAGAGTGAAGTACACACCGTGGTCAGGTTCAGTCATGAATGTGGCACAACGCCTTTGTCCTACCGTAAACATAGCATTCCGAGTCACATCACGTGACTTGCTGTTGTCATAGTTCAATATCTACACGCTACACTACACCAGTGTGATTCAATAATGATAATAACAATGATGATAATAGGGGAAGAACTAATGCGTAAATATAAACAACAACAACTACTACTACTCCTCCTACTACTATTACTACTACTACTACTACCCTGGTTAATGTTAGATCGAGAATCATATGTGCCCGCACTGCTACTACTACTACTACTACTACTACTACTACTACTACTTCTTCTACCACTACTACTCCTACTACTACTACTACTACTACTTCTTCTACTACTACTACTACTACTACTACTACTACTACTGCTGCTACTACTACCGGTACAACTACTCCTCACCTGGTTAATGTTAGGTCGACAATCATGCCCACACAAGTATAAAATAATCAATAATGATCATTGCGTTCACGAAAGTATACTGCTATTTACGTGTCACTCGCCAATACCAATGTAGATAAAGCCTTCTGACACGAAGATGAAATACACGGACATGCCGATACTCAACCCTTAAAGTTACCAGTAAACACACAATAACAAAACACCTCTTCAGGTCACGTATTCAATACAAACCTACCTGGTATAGCGAGGTGACCAAGGGGTACTTTGGTCAGACGCTCGGGTAGATTCCCCATCCAGTTTGAGAAGTCAGCGTCTGACATGTTTAACACCTGTTATCACCTGTAATCTGTAGCTTACACCTGTGACTTCAAGGGCATCAGGTATGTAAATGTGTTTAGTCCAGCATCACATGGAATTATAAGGTCATATATTCCCAACCTAGGACAGCATTACCTCACGAGAGAGTCATAGCTCCACGCGTTACTGAATACGCCTCGAGCAGTTAACGTGCGCGTTAGTGACAGAATTTATGACTGTCATTAAAATGACCACTTGTGATTACGATCGCACGTTTGACGTTAGTAAAGCGGTAATACTTATCTATTACATATAGAAACAAGTGAATTAGGCGAGTCGTGCCTTGAAGCGCTGTTAGCATAGCTGCAGCCAATCCCAGAGCTTTAAAATGACTTTACTGTATAGTCATATGTATTGATCTTTTACTATTCCCAAACCCGAGAGATCAATGTGCTCGTTTGCTTCTTTGATGTGCCCCCAGCAATATTTCAACTGACCTGTCGTCGAACATAAATAACATGACGGCTTTAGACGAAAGAAATAAAGAGACACCATATTTGAAGGGAAAACATATTTAATTGAGTGACGTTTTGGCACCGTGTTAAAAAACGATTACTCTAGAAAAAGAAGAAACTTTACGAGTAACAATGATGCAAAACCATTAGGTGTCATAAAGAAACCATTTACAATTCGAAAGACTTAAACAGCAAACTTGTAAGTCACTGCAAAGTCATTCATCACATGCACAATGTTGAATATGTCCACCTCATCATGACACGTCACGGCATTGATGACGTCAAACGCCTGATGACGTTAGCGGAAATCCGTTACCAATCCTGATGACACAACGTTCCACGCCCAGGAGGGTGGCCGGTGGATCTGTGGTCAGTCTGACTCGCCTGCCATGATGGTGCCACAAATGTTCGACTGGGTCACGTCAAGGGAACGTGCAGGCAATGCCGAAACTTTAACGTTAATGTTGCTGATGACATTGCAGAATGATATAAAAATAAATGTCTTTAAATATTTTTTGTTTGTATTTTTGTTTAACGCCGCATTCACCAATATTTCACCTATATGGCGGCAGTCTTTAAATAATCGAGTCTGCTAGACCAGACAATCCAGTGGTCAACAGCATAAGCATCGATCTACGCAATGGCATACGATGACGTGTCAACCAAGTCAACGAACCTGACTACCCGATCCCGTTAGTCGATTCTTACGCAAGCATGGGTTCCTGAAGACCAGTTCTAACCCGGAGTGAGTGAGTGGGTTCAGTTTTACGCCGCTTTTAGCAATATTCCATCAATATCACGGCGGGGGACACCAGAAATGGCCTTCACACATTGTACCCATCTAACCCGGATGTTCACGAGTTGCGTTATCATGCTGGTATAGACTGTGCCGTGTGGCTGTTGTTGGATAAATGGCAGCCGACCTAGTAAGGTAAGGTAAGGTAAGGTAAGGTAAGGTAAGGTAAGGTAAGGTAAGGTAAGGTAAGGTAAGGTAAGGTAATAAACTAAAGGTAAGGTAAGGTAAGGTAAGGTAAGGTAAGGTAAGGTAAGGTAAGGTAAGGTAAGGTAAGGTAAAACCTTATTCCAATTACCTCTGTGCAGTAATGTTGCCTAAAATGATAACCAGCCTCAAGTCCAGCCCCACTGACTTCTAACTAGTTCATGATACCGCCATGACCTTTCTGGACATAGTTCGGCGCTAGTTTACCTTGCCCTCTGTACACATTTTGAACCTGCCAACGCTGTACCTTGCCTCCTTCCACGGTGACACTGTCGACTGAGATCATTATTATAGGTTATTTATAAAGCGCAATATGTCCACGCATCTAGTGCATGTCGAGGCGCTGATCATTTTTCCCTCGATCTTGGATGTCAATCTCAACGGCACATCGAATATCAGTCTCAACTCTTGCAGTCACTAGGCGCACCGAGTTATTGTGGCTTTCATCCTAACGAGGTACCCATTCACAGCTGGGTGGGACTGGGACACATAGTCACAGTACTTTGTCCATGTTCACGCATCGCCGCTGCTGTACCCGCAACTAGGTGTTTGCATCGTATTCATGTGGCCACCATCTGGTCAAATACCAACGGATTCGTGGTTCTTTAAGCCACAGGGTTGTGTACCGTACACTAGGGGTTGTGACAACACTGAAAGAGTCTGCACAATGCAAAGTTGACTCGAAGGTTTTACACTCCGGTCACAGGTGGGCTCTGATCCCGACACCTCAACCTTTTGGATCACTAGCCTAGCGCCTTAGCCAGCTTCATCCGCCCATCGCGCCCCATAGTCATGTTGGTGCTGGTGCTGTCGCAGAGATGAAGATGTTTCGGGGATGACTTCATCAGATTAGTCACAGTGATGCCCTTTGTCTGCTTTCTTTAACGATGTTCCGAACGAATTTTGTCAGCAGTTTTTATACCAGGTTGTTCGTGCATTTTACGACGTTTTCGCAAAACGGACGTCTTTCATCAAAATTTAAATTGGCACTCTCAATCGAATACATTTTGTTGTCCAGGTGCAACATACGTCACCAAGATTTCAATTTAATGTTATATTTCATATAGTAATTAGACAAAAGAAATTCACGATTGTCCCATGTTTCAGTCCCTGGAGTAGATCAAACCGGCTTCACCAACGACTACTGTGAACGCTGAGCGGTGACAGGCCATTGCGGTGTCATATTTTATTGCGCTTCTGTGGCTTCAACCACAACAGGCCACAAGAAAGTTCATTTGTTTGTATATCCCGCTAAAGCTGGATGTGCGTGATTAGTTAATCTGAAGTTCGGATAGGAGGGATATTTAGTCTGAAGTTCGGATAATAGTGAATATTTAGTCTGAAGTTCGGATAAGAGTGAATAGTTAATCTGAAGTTCGGATAAGAGCGAATGGTTAGTCTGGAGTTCGTTAGTCTGTTCGATAAGAGTGAGTTCGGAAAAAGAGTGAATAGTTAATCTGAAGTTCGGATAGAGAGAGGAATATGAGAGTGAATAGTCTGAAGTTCGGATAAGAGCGTTCATGGTTAATAGAATTAATCTGAAGTTCGGATAGGAGGGAATATTCAGTCTGAAGTTCGGATAAGAGTGAATAGTTAAATAGTTAATCTGAAGTTCGGATAAGAGTGAATAGTTAATCTGAAGTTCGGATAAGAGTGAATAGTTAATCTGAAGTTCGGATAGGAGGAATAGTCTAAGTTCTGAAATAGTTAATCGATATAGAGTGAATAGTTAATCTGAAGTTCGGATAAGAGTGAATAGTTAGTCTGAAGTTCGGATAGGAATTGAATAGTTAATCTGAAGTTCGGATAAGAATGAATAGTTAGTCTGAAGTTCGATAAGAGTGAATAGTTAGTCTGAAGTTCGGATAAGAGTTAGTTAATCTGAAGTTGAAGTTCGGAATTCGAAGAATAGAATAGTTAATGAATGAAGTTCGGATAAGAGTGAATAGTTAGTCTGAAGTTCGGATAAGAGTGAATAGTTAATCTGAAGTTCGGTGAATATTTAGAAAGTGAATAGTGAATTTAATCTGAAATTCGGAAAGAGTGAATAGTTAGTCTGAATAGTTCGAAGTTCGGATAAGAGTGAATAGTTAATCTGAAGTTCGGATAAGAGTGAATAGTTAATCTGAAGTTCGGAATAGAGTGAATAGTTAAGTCTGAAGTTCGGAATAAGAGTGAATAGTTAATCTGAAGTTCGATAGAATGAATAATCTGAAGTTCGAAAGAGTGAATAGTTAATCTGAAGTTCTGATAAAATGAATAGTTAATCTGAAGTTCGGGTAGAATGAATAGTTAATCTGAAGTTCGGGTAAGAATGAATAGTTAGTCTGAAGTTCGGATAAGAGTGAATAGTTAGTCTGAAATTCGGAAAAGAAAGAATAGTTAGTCTGAAGTTCGGATAGGAGTGAATATTTAGTCTGAAGTTCAGATAAGAGTGAATATTTAGTCTGAAGTTCGGATAAGAGTGAATAGTTAATCTGAAGTTCGGATAAGAGTGAATAGTTAGTCTGAAGTTCGGATAAGAGTGAATAGTTAATTTGAAGTTCGGGTAAGAATGAATAGTTAGTCTGAAGTTCGGAATAGAGTGAATAGTTAGTCTGAAGTTCGGAATAGAGTGAATAGTTAATCTGAAGTTCAGATAAGAATGAATAGTTAATTTGAAGTTCGGGTAAGAATGAATAGTTAATCTGAAGTTCGGGTAAGAATGAATAGTTAGTCTGAAGTTCGGATAAGAGTGAATAGTTAGTCTGAAATTCGGAAAAGAAAGAATAGTTAGTTTGAAGTTCCATTTGACCATTTCATTTTCGACAGGTGTACAGCCATATTTCAGATTTGGTTGGAATCACAACATGGGGTACATTGACTATGGTCTTGTACATGCATATGACAAACAGCTCTGATAGTTCATGACACACTAATTATACAAGAACAAACTCATCCCTATTTCAAACTGTGAAACCAAATTGCTAACCATGTATGTCAGGTTGTAGCATTGGTAAACAGACATGTTTTAACTATTACTGACTGACTGACTGGGTTTTGTTTTACGCCGCTTTTAGCAATATTCCAGTAATATCACGGCGGGGAACACCAGAAATGGGCTTCACACATTGTACTCATGTGGGAATTCGAACCCGGGTCTTCGGCGTGACGAGCCAACGCTTTAACCACTAGACTACCCCACCGCCCCTTTTAACTATTAATATCCATAGAGACATTCTTTAATTTATAAGAAAACAGGTTTACATCTATTGATTATGTATACCAGCGGATAATTATATTATTGAGTAAGAAAACTTTAGTAGTATTTAATTTAATCCCTTTTTCTGCTATCATGGTTGCCTAGAAAATATTCATGATAATGAAAAACTACATTTCATTTACAAACCGCCGGCTGTAACGTCATACAGCCGGAAACTTTTGCGGCGTTAAACAACAAACAAACACACAAAATCATATCTTAGTTCCCGCTATCGCTAAACAAATTATACCCATGCAGGTTACAAATGATCTCCAGTAACCCATGCTTGTCATAAGAGGCGACTAACGGGATCGGGTGGTCAGGCTCGCTGACTTGGATGACACATGTCATTGTATCCCTAATGCATAGATCGATGCTCATGCTGTTGATCACCGGCTTGTCATATAGCTGGAATATTGCTTTAAACAAGAAACAAACTAGAGCTAAACAAACTAGCAAAGTGAGAACATTGCATCACACGACCGAAGCAACGTTAGTTTGGATTTTATGAGCGCTTTACCTTCAAAGTTTTCTCCGTTCGAGTATCTGGCATACGTACAAAATGATATATAATGATAATAGCAGGAACGTGAGTCGGAATGTTTGCACATCCCATGGATGGAGAAGATTCATGCAATCAGTATAAAACTTGAATGTTACATATCGATAGTTTTTAATGATATTGTCATGATAGAGAAGAGTATGGGAGAGAGGTTTTATGCCGCATTTAACAATATTCCAGCAATATCACGGCGGGACAATAATGGGCCTTAACATATCTATCTGTAGAAAAGAAGAACGATATTTGATGATGTTTGTTTGGTTTGCTGTGTAACCACGCACCCAGCAATAGTCCACCTATATGGCGGCGATCTGTAAATAATCGGATCTGGACCAGACAATCCAGTGATCAACATCAGAAGCATTGATCTAAGCAACTGGGATACGATGACATGTGTCAGCCAGGTCAGCGAGCCTGACCACCCGATCCCGTTAGTCGCCTCTTTAGACAAGTATGGGTTACTGAAGACCAATGCTAATCCGGATCTTCACGGCTCTTCGTCGTGAACAAAGCATGAAGCACAAGATTCCAATCAGTAAGCTATATTGTAATTGCACCGGTCAGTGGGTCAGTGTGCATTCTCAGCGCCCTGGGTGGGGGTGGGATAGCCTAGTGGTTAAAGTGTTCGCTCGTCACGCCGAAGACCCAGTTCGATTTCCCGCATGAGTACAATGTGTGAAGCCCATTTCTGGTGTCCCCTGCCGTGATATTGCCGGAATATTGCTAAAAGCGGCGTAAAACTAACGTCTCAGTCATCTCCCTGGCGAATATATATATTCAAACGGTTTGCACGTCACAAGGTCCACGTACAAGGTATGAAACTCATTCCGGCTGTCATACAGCTGTCAACAGACACACTCCAGTGATGCTGGACACAGTGACACAGTCGTGCATTTACTGAGTTTGTAGAAAGTAATAAAAGTTAAGTTGTTAAGTTAATTGGAATTACTCTCACTCTCTAACTCACACATTTGAACGTTTAACAGTACAACATGATCTTAAACATATAGATACTTAATCTGTTGTACAAGGCCAAAACCGAACTTTCTATTCCCTAATATCCCACACCCTACTCATCACTGAAGTTAATTTACTACTTCATTGTTATTAAATGCTTCTGTGATAAACCTGTAGACCCACATTCTTCAATGTTTCAGTGCATCAGTTCAGAGGCTTTTATTATTGTTTGATGTTTTACTGCTTTTGATATTTCTTGTACTTCCATCGTTCAAATTTAACTATTAGAAGCACCCCCACCCAACTCCCACACAAAAAGGAAAAGACCCCCCAAAACAAACAAACCCAAAACAAAACAAAAACAAACAAAACAAATCAAAAACCAAAGAGAAACAACAAACAAACAAAAACAAAACAAAACACAAAAACATTAAAAAAACAAAACAACAAACAAAACAAATAACAACACAGAAACAATACACACAAAAGCAAAAACAAATAAAACACACACACCCCAAAAAAAGAAAAGAAAAAAGAAAAGTAAAAAAAAAAAAAGGAGAGAAAATATAAACACCAACAAAAACCCCATCAAAACAAAACAAGAAGAAAAAAACAACAAGAAGACATTCTGTGCAGGTTAAATCAACGTTAATTGATGTAATTATGGGCTAATTAATCAATTAATAAAAGAGTGCTAAAAAAACTGACACTTCCTTCCCAGTGCAGCATGCTCCTTGGTCATTAGCTAAGGTTTGTGAGAAACCTTCTGAACATGTCAAATACAAAAAACATACATCACGTTGAATCAAGGCCTAGCTCTTCTATCACCTTATACTATTGCATATACATTTTTATTAAAACTCAGTTCAATTCAGTCAGCAATACTGCACAAGTGTGTACGCTGGAACGTTAACAGATATCATTCCGAACTTCATGTGTACTATGTACTGTGTACAGAAAACACACCCATTCAAGACACTCACTACGAGGCCCAGTCAATCGTATCGCCCCTTGTAACCCCTGACCCCGACCCTCATCGCTACCTTATATGGCAACATCTGGGTCAAGCGGAGAATCCGGAAGCTGTAGCATAACGCAGGTCGACGCCTTCTGCACTCCACGTTCTGTCGCCAGCACGAGCAGGTAAGGATAGTTTCTAGATGACGATGTTTGTCATTATTTTCTCGAACTCGTGGGATACCTCTTAGTGCAAGAAAACGCGTGGTTATTAGTCTAAAGCAGTCGTAGGGACCACGCCCATTCAGAATCACGTTCATGCTGGTGCTATGTACCGTTCTTTGAAGGTTTTCACCGAATTGTCTTGCTCAGTCATGCGTGCCTCTCGTTCTCAAAGGAAGGATATGCCTTCAACGGGACTTTTACTAATGATATCATTGTACCAGAACATTTGATTCCTATAAACTCAGGGATCGTCAATTCCTTTTTCTTCAAAGACGTCGGTTTTTACTTAGTGCATTCAATTTGGTCGACTGGTTGCTGTTGTGTCTTGGGTTAGATCAACGCGACCTGTCTGGCCGATGTCTGAGTGTGAGAAATTTAAATGTCTGGCAAATTCTATTTTGAAGTTTGGTTCGTTGTCAACTATTTTCCCGAGTTGACATCGTAATTACAACAGCTACAAAGGTAAATATGATGTACAGGAATTTCGATATCACCATCATTAGTCTATATTTTCTCCTGTTAAGAGCCAAAACGGAAGGGTATCCGGTTTCATTATTTTCAGACATCAGTTCCAGAAGATTTTCAACCTCACATTAGAAACGTCTGTGTGTCGAAATTCCGAAATACACATTACACACTGTGTTTACATTGTTTTGTTAAGAATGAGAGTTCATCAATACACTTTATGATCATAACATGCAGATAAATATGTTAAATGAATGACAAAAACCCCAAACAATTTAAGATTCAGAAATTAACTGTGGACACACAGGGGAAATAATTAGATTGATAGGTGGGACAACAGCCCTGTGCACATTTCTTATCATTTTAAGATTGAGGAAGGAAAATGGAGGAATTTTGATAGACTGTAACCTGAGCTTCCTTAGTTAGCAGGGAATGAAGGATGACTATCTCATTACAATCATATGAGGATAAACAACCTCTTTAGTGGCACAAGTCCAGTGATGATATTCTCTGACACCAACCTCCCTTAAATACTTAAAACATTTATTGTATTAAAAACCTGAAAAACCCTGAATAATTTGATAATGTGAAAAAATGTAAAAAAATCTTTGCAAATAATTTGCATTCCTCTGTCATGTTGTGTGTTAAGTGCTTTCTCCATAAGCTGTATCTTTGCTTAAAACACCATGACTTGATATTTATCTGTTGGATGCTAGTGTGTCACCAGCAACCCTGTGTGACTGGTTCATAGTTCATTGTAGCAACATTTCCCCCTACTTCCTTCCCCAACAAGGAGCGTGGCTGTTGAGTCAGCCATGAGAATTCCACTACATTCTTGTGAATAAGCAACGTGAAGGAGGCTGTCAGGGCTGGACATGTGATGTTGACCTGCTAGAGAAAGGTGACACTAATCTTTCTGATAGGACACCAACAAAAATCTACCACAAGAAAACAATATAAAAATTATTTCATCTACATTTATTGGTGATGGTTATCTTAAGAATAATTGTTTTGATCATTCGCTCTGCTTGTATTTATTGTTTTTGGAAAAATGTATAATATGTTTACATTTTTTCCTAATGACGATTTATATGCATATTGTAGCTACTGCAAGTGACCCATGACACTTGTATATGCGCTCACACACGCGCACACACACACACATGCACACACAGACATAGAGAGTCACGTGCACACACAGACATAGGGAGAGAGGGAGAGACACACAGGCACAGGCACAGGCACATTAAATGTTTTGATCAAATTTGATCAGATCAAACTAAACAACCAAACATCTTTATGTGAAGTAATGTTGAAAATATATACTGAAATTAATGAAAACAATTCTTGCCTTAGTCTACTTGATGCAATTACTTTTATTTTAACAACCAAAATTGTTTAAAGGATTATATTATAGCTTAAAAATCATTCCTTCACTTTCAAGCAAGCTGCTGGCATAATCCCCCTACCAGATTCAGGATGAGTGCCTAGAAAGGGATTTGAACCCATCATTGTAGGTTTCAAGCACATTTTGTGGAATTGATACAAAAGCAAATATATTACTCAACTCGGCACAGCAAATTACTGAGCTTTGTCATCAAAGTTTTACCTATTTGGGGTGGTGGGGTAGCCTAATGGTTAAAGTGTTGGTCACACCAAAGACACAACATGGCTACAATATGTCAAACTCATTTCTAGTGTCCATCGATGTGATATTGCTAGAATATTGCTAAGAGCAGTGTAAACCATAATCACACACATATTGAATTTGACCTCCTTGAGAAAATGATCAGACTGATTTTGTGAATTGATACAAAAGCAAATATATTAGACCAGATGTTGTGAATGATTTTACATAATTAACACTGGTAGAGTGGTAACAAACATTTAAAAAGATATTTCAGATTATTTTGCTTTTCAAAGTTTACTGTATATGTTAATTTTGCAGGTTTTATTTCATGTCTTTATCATAAACATTGGAAAATATTGTTGATCATTGTTAACCTATTTGACTTTGATAGAATCCATATGTCAATTAAAAAGGTTTTGCCCCACTTTCATATCCACACTTACATCATGAGTCAATGCCCAATGAAACTTGTTAATGCCTGTTGATCATGGCTCAATGACTTTGTATCCCCTCTTGAATATGTTCTGTACTCACTCACGTTTTCAGTTTCCATGTTCTAAGTTTCATTATTCTTGTTCAATAACTTTCTGACTTTCATGACTCTCTCAGTCTGTTGTTGATATATTGTGAACGTATTCAAATGAAAGTTCATTGGCACAGTTAACTGCTCACAGCGTATTGACTATTAGTTCACTAGGCAGGTGTATCTGTTAACAAAAACAATCCATATTTGGATCATGTATGAAATAAACTGTAGGTAGTCAGGTAGGTTACGACACAAGTAGGTTTATTCTACATGCTTCTTCATAGTGAAGTAAAATCGGAAAGGGTCATATTTTCATTTTGTTGGGGTAGTGTTTTCTAAGTAAGAACTTGATGAATAATTAAATATACTGCTTGTAGGCAAATCAAATTAAGGCAGTTAAGAACTTGAATTATTTTCTTACAGTACTATAGATATATGTATCTCTGCATGTAGTCTGAGACTTGTTTTGAGAGGAAAGAATTACAGAAATGTATGTAAATAATATTTTCTTGTCAATTATCAGCTGATTATTGACATATTTTGACATTATCAAGAGTGTGTTTGGATGTCGACCCATCATTTAGTTTAGCACCATGTCCTTGGTTTTGTCTCAAGAAAGCTTAGTAGGTACTTAACATAAGTAACACATCTGCCAAATCAGCAGTTAGATATTGATAGGTAGTGTTGCCATGGCAACATGGGGGAGTGACAGCTGGGGCGGATAATGTGAGATCATACATTCTTTGATGATGATGTGACGGCCATTTTGCTGAGAAGAGTTGTGTTAGCTTTGACTAACAAATATGTGCTTTCATGCAGTTTTATTTTAAATACTGATAATGTACTTACTGAAAGGGTTTAGTGTATTTCTATTTTAGCAGCTAGTGGTGTATGAAATGGTAGAGGTCTTAGTTGTGAAGTGTGACATTGGTAGCTGTTGTATATGTAAGTAGTTGTTTGGACAGTAGTTGTGTTAATATTTTGAAGTGGCGATATGATGAACCTGAGGACTGGTGGCAGTAACACAAGTAATAGGAGACACAATAGGACAAGAGGTAGTAGCAGAAGCATTAGTAATAGAGTGAGTAATGGACTTGAATTTTACGCCGCTTTAAGCAATATTCCAGCAATATTACGGCGGGGGACACCACAAATGGGGTTCACACATTGTACCCATGTGAGGAATTGAACCTGGGTCTTCAGCGTGACAAGCGAACACTTTAACCACTAGGCTACCACACTGCCCCGGTAGTAATAGAAACAACAACATAAGCAGTAGTAAAAGCAATAACACAAGTAGCAGTAACATTGACACAAGTAGCAGTAACACTGACACAAGTAGCAGTAACACTGACACCAGTATCAGCAGCATGAGACCAGTAGCATAACACAAGTAGCAATATCAACAATAACACAAGTAGTAGTAAAGCAATAACACAAGTAGCAGTAACACTGACACAAGTAGCAGTAACATTGACACCAGTATCAGCAGCAAGAGACCAGTAGCATATGACACACAGAGTAGTATCAACAATAACAAGTAGCAGTATCAACAGCAATAACACAAGTAGTAGCAGCAACACTAACACAAGTAGCAGCAACATTGATACAAGTATCAGTAACATTGACACAAGTATCAGCAGCATGATACCAGAAGTAGCATAACACAAGTATCAATATCAACAATGACACAAGTAGTAGTAGAAGCAATAACACAAGTAGCAGTAACATTGACACAAGTATCAGCAGCAAGAGACCAGAAGTAGCATAACACAAGTAACAATATCAACAATGACACAAGTAGTAGAAGCAATAACACAAGTAGCAATAACAATGACACAAGTAGCAGTAACATTGACACCAGTATCAGCACCATGATACCAGAAGTAGCATTACACAAGTAGCAATATCAACAATAACACAAGTAGTAGCAACAATAACACAAGTAACAGCAACACTGACACTAGTAGCAGCAGGAAAATACCAGAAGTAGCATAACACAAGTAGCAATATCAACAATAACACAAGTAGTAGAAACAATAACACAAGTAGCAGAAGAAACAATAACACAAGTAGTAGAAGCAAGACCAAGTAGCAGTATTAACACAAGTGGGAGTGGCATAACGGAAGAGCAAGCAGTAAAAATAGAAACATCAACAGGAAGATAATTATTTTTTCGTTGCTAAGTTGATGTGGAACTCTCCTATGTTTAATGCAGTACAGAATTCTGTAATCCTGCAGTTTTCATGTACAACAGATCAAGTTTTCGATACTGGGAACTCCTGTATCAAGAATGTTACTCTTTCAAACAAGTACTGTTAAAAAATTGATGTGTTGATA